ATTTGACAGTAATGGAGAGGGTAAGAAAAGGAATATTGTGAAATAATACTGAAGCCAGATTGTGGCAGGCCTCCAGTGCTAGACTGAAAACTTGTTATCTTACAGGCAACAAGGTACCACAAAGTGGCTTTTTTTTTTAACCAAATAATAAGTTATAGGCCAGTTTGGGATCCTGGGCCTCATTTCCCTCACCTGTAAGATTAAGTTATGGAATAAGGTGATTTCTAGGAACCTTTCAATAGGTCTGCATATTTTAGGACTCTTAAATAGATGACTATATCCTTCAGGGATTTACTACTTAAGAATCTGCTTCAATTTTTACGCCTGGACTGGGGAGAGGTAGGTGGCTGATGCTTTTTCAGATGTATTTACATTTCAGTTCATTTCACAATGGCTGCCATTATTCTGCCTACTGATGACTCATGTGGAGCTGGGTTCCACACAAGGCCTCCAGCTGTGTTCCTCTGCCTTAGTTAGATTTGGGGGCATGAGAGAATGTTTTCTAGCATGGTACTTGTCATGGGTCTGCAAGATAATAGATTTGTAGTTACTCATCTGACTTACTTTTATCCTTCATGAATCTTGACTGAGGTTATTATTACTTCCTCATGTGATTTGATGTATGGGTTGAATCAGGTGGTGATGAGAGTTGTATAAGATTCATTCAGCAAAGAAAAAGTCATCTTGCTTTGTTAATAATGAGAGCCCTAGTCTGGGTCTATGGTTTGGATAAGTCTCTGATGACCCTTAGGAAAGGTGTTAACAGAAGTGGAGAATGCACTTCATAAGATTCTGGAGTTTAGAGCTAGAGGGGCCACTGACATTATTTAGGGAAGCCCTCATTTTATAAAGGAGAAAACTGAAGCCCAGAGCTGCTAAGTTATTTGCCTAAGCTCACATGGCCAGTGAAAGGCAAAGCTGGCATCCAGATATCAGACTTCAGACACCTTTATACCTAAACTTAGCAGATAACAGCAGAACAAACTCTCTATAAAGAAGTTGCTCTTAAACAGCATACCCACCACTCAGGTGAAGCCTTCAGAAAGGGATGTGACCTTGTTTCACCAGCTGCCACTTAGACAGGAGTTAGGAAGACAGGACTTTTGAGCGCTGCCTTCCTCCCAGAGTGTCAAAAGATTGCTACTGCCTTTCAGGTGCTAAATGACTCTCAACTAGTCCACATGGGAATTCCTGTTTCATCATAGCCAAAAGAAGTGAAACTATAGAATTAAATCAAAGGGTAATTCCAGGTTCTCTACAAAGAGAATCCTCCTCACAAGTTCATTTGATTTATTTGACAGAAAGTTAGCAGTAATTTTTAACAGGATCATTTCCCTGTTTTCTCTGCCTCTTAGCTCTGTTTCATCAAGTTTGTATGAACCTGGGGAGACTATCAAGCTAGGTTAACTGCATTTCCTCACTGGGGCTAATGTTTTTTGCTGGGAGGGTAAAAGTCTGACATCTAGTAGACGTTCATTAAGGAGCAATCTCAGTGGAGAAAGCATCTTGGAGTCCATTAGCTCTGTTATCTCTGGGTAGATCACTTCACCTCTGAGCTTTGGTATTCCCCTCTATAAAGTAAAGATAATAATTCATGCAATTCGGTTCAATTAGATAAATGTTAAAAGCCTACCCTGTATTAGGCACATTGGAAATATAAAGACAAAAGCAAAATTGTTGCTACCATCAAGACATAATCTCTTGATTCACAGGGGCCTGATAATGAAATCCAAGATAACTGGGTGCCCTAACTAAGGTTTCCTGTTCCTCATTCCTGCTTCTCTGTTTCTCTTATGCTTTTTGCTTACAACCTCCCCTCCTTTCTGCCTAATTCTTTCCCATCCTTTAAGAGATAGCATTCTCTGACCACCTTAGCACAGTATGATTTCATTCTCCTTCAAATTTCTACATTTGTCAAGTTTCCTTCATTGGAAGATACATTAGCCTTTTATTTAGTCAGGAAGACCTTAGTTCAAATCCTTCCTTTGAAGCTCATTAGCTGTGTGAGCCTAAACAAGTCACTGCCTTCTTTTCAGCCCCCATTACCTTATCAGTAAAATGAAGATAATGATAAACGCTTACCTCAGAGAGTTTTAGAATCAAATGAGATAATGTACATAAAGGGGTTTGCAAAAAAATTATTTAAATGTTAGCTGTTAAACATTATTTAAATATTAAATTAAACATTTAAAACATTATGTAAATTTTAGCTATTGTTATTATACCATGCTGCATCTTTAGTTGGTTTATAAACAGTGGGAACCAAGACGTGTCTCTTTTTTTTTTTAATCTCTGATCCTCCATGTTTCCTAGCACAGAACCAGGATAAATAGCAGCTCATGTTTCTATAGGGCAGTGAGGTTTAGAAGTTACCTCGAGGGCAGCTAGGTGGCCCAGGGGATAGAGCACTGGCCCTGAAATCAGGAGGCTCTGAGTTCAGATCTGGCCTCAGACCAAACACTCGATACGTACTAGCTGTGTGACCTTAGGCAAGTCACCTAACCCCAATTGCCTTACCAAAAAAAAAAAAAAAAAGAAGTTACATTGAAACTCTGAGAAGAGACAACTAGCCAACCATTAGAAGTATCACATATAGGCAGAAGGTATGTTGACTCCACTGTTAGCCCACCCAGGGACACAATTAATTGGTAGGTAAAGAGGGACACCTCTTTATCATTTATTCTAGGATATCTCACCCTAACACCCCAAAATTAAACAGTCTGCAAATGATCCCTTCACACTTCTGGAGCAATTGTTCCCAAATGGCCTACATGCCTCAGACTTGGGATCTTCTGTTCTTTCAAAAGCCCCTTCTTTATATAACAGAAGAGTAGATAATAATGGCATTTTTTTGTAAAACGTAAATCTACTCTTTCCTTGACTTTCTACTCAGAATTAGAAGGAGGTGTTTTGTTGGTTTTCTTTTTAAATACTTCCCCACACATTTGTATTTAAGAGGAAATTAAGTGGTTAATTTTGAATAGGGCACAGAGTAGCTTAGGAGTGGCAGTGGGGCTGTTGTTTTTCACTAGTTAGCCACCTGGTTGTAATTCAATAAAAGTTGGGTTCTCCTTAATATGATAAGTAGCATCTATCTAAAACCATCATCAAGCATTATCTGTAATGGGAATAAGCCAGAAGTCTTCCCAGTACAATCAGGGGGTGAAGCAAGGATGTCCATTATCACCACTATTATTCAGTATTGTACTGAAAATGTTAGTTTTGGCAGTAAGGGAAGAAAAAAGGCAATGACTAAACAAAACCCTCTTTGCAGATGATATAATGGTATACTTGGAGAATCCTAAAGAATCAACTAAAATTTGAAATAATTGACAACTTTAGCAAAGTTTCAGGATATAAAATAAACCCACATAAATCACCAGCATTTCTGTTATATTACTAACAAAACCCAGGAACAAGAGATAGAAAGAAATTCCATTTAAAATAACTGTAAGCAATATAATATACTTGGGGGTCTGCCTGTCAAGACAAACCTAGGAACTGTATGATACAATTACAAAACACTTCTCATTTCAGATCTAAACAACATCAGGAAAAATATCAGTTGTTCATGGGTAGACCAAGCCAATATAGAGTAGTGACCTGGGAGGGTATTTTGATTATAAGAATAGTGAGTGGAGTCACTGACACACACTGAACAGTAGCAATGGAAATATTGATTTGATTATGGTTACAAAATAGAAAGTGGGGGTATTGGGAGGAATATTTGTCAGCTGGTTATCAGAGTTGGCTGCAGAATAAAATGAAGCTTGCCTGGAGCCCTTCTAAATATAGTAGGCCATGTGAGATACTTACCTTTGGGGGGAAAGAAAGGACTTCAAAGGCAGGAGTTCCAGAATGGAAAAGGATTAAGTCGTCCTAAATTCTCTAGAACAAGCAGAGAAGTTGTTATAAAGGGGGAGTGTTAGGTTGGGATTAGATGTCTTTTAGGGTCCCTTCCCTTCTTATATTCTTTGATATAAAGAAAATGACAATTGCATCTAAAACCTAACTTACTTCACTTAAAAATACCTGCAGAGCAGAGTGTACAGAACTGTGTAACTACAGAAATTGCATATGTAGAGTCACATGATTTTTGTAGCTCAAGTGCTCTTAAAAATCATCTCATTCAACTCCCTCATTTTGCAAGTGGGAAAACTGGGGCCAAAGGTTGTAGCACTGTCCAGTATAGAACTATGTTGGAGCTGGTCCTAGAGCCAAGGTTTCCTGTTTCTCTTTAAGGACAGAAATGATCGTGATCTTTTCAGTTATTTTAAGTTTTTGTGTGAAAATTTTTTTTCTTGAATTCTTTTCTCTTTGGTCTCCAAATTATATTCATTCCCCACCCCCAGTTTTTATTAAGTGTATGTGAGTACAGATATACCCAGACATAGCTATAGGTATTTTGAGAAATATTCCTTGATTCAAAAAGTTTGAAAACTTCTAGTATTCTTAGTGGCTGGGAACATTCTTTAGCCCTATACTATTTAACCCTATCCCCTCTCACAAGCTTTTTTAATGTTGTCCCCAATGGAGTTAAGCCTGACCTCACAGGTCACTATTGGTTTCGCCTTTGCTTTGAGTGATATTTTATTCTTTCCTTGATTTGTGTGGCAATGCCCTACTTTAACAGGTGCAACAGGATCCCATTGTCTTTGATCCCTTTCACATGATCAACCACACAAAGCCAAACTACATTATGTGTGGTTTCAGTGTCAGGAAAAAGTATTCACCCTCCAAGATCTCATTGTCTTTGGCTTTATCTCACCATCTATCATTATCTGTTCTGTCTCTACAAGGTATAATTGGGTTCACTTCATATGTCTTATCCAAAGTCAGTTACCCCCTTTTCTTTCACTTAAAGTTGAGCTTCCTTTAAGGTTGTAACAGGGAATATATGAGGCTATACCACTTTTTGCTTCTGATTTTTTCCTATATTTTCTTCAAGCTATTCCTGGTTCTAATTGCTAACTCCATTCTTTTTCATTCCCTCCCTCCAGCTGGTCAGTGAAAAGGTTGGAGGAGCTGAAGGGACCAAGCTTGATGATGACTTCAAAGAAATGGAGAAGGTAAAGGAAGCATTGGGAAGAACTATGCTGGGAGATTGTTGTCCCCTAATGATATGTGATAGAGGTGGATTTTAAGCAATTGTATTTATTTTCTTTATAGAAAGTGGATGTTACCAGCAAGGCTGTGGCAGAGGTGTTGACTAGAACCATTGAGTATCTTCAGCCCAACCCAGGTATAAGACCATAGTTATTCATGAAAGAATCTGTTATGGATTCCTTTAGCTCCTAGATCCAATATTTGTTTTATGGCACTAAGATATAGACTTTTCCAGCCTCTACTAGAAACAGATGAAAATTTGCAAGTGGGAAGTTGTATAAAACCCTCATTTTACATTCTAAGATCATACTTTGGCCTGTTCCCCAGTAACATTTTTTGCAATCTGATGATTGTTCCCAAATACTCTCTTACTCTTTTAGCAGTGAAAAGAAAGACATATATGACTGCCTTTCTGTTGAATTCTCATTGTGAGAATTCCCAGGAGGCACTGGGATAGTCTGAGAAGTTGTGCGACTTGGCTAGAATAGATTGGTAACTCATTCTTAGAGCCCAAATATTTTTCCTTTCTGCCACTAGTTCTCTATATTGAGTTGCTTACTTTATGGGCAACAGAGACAGTGTCTGGAACAGGGCAAGAAAAAATCCCATTTGGGCCTTGCTATCCAGGTCAGATTGAGGGCCATTCAGATCTTTTTATAGCCAGTGCAATTTGCAAGCAAACCAATCAATAGATTGCCCTGACTGTGAGACCATTAAAATAAATGGTAGTAAGGAAGTGAGGACAGCTTAGTGGCATAGTGGATAGAATGCCAGTCCTGGAGTCAGGAAGACTCATCTTCTGAGTTCAAATCTGGCCTCATACACTTCCTAGCTGTGTGACCCTGGGCAAGTCACTTAACCCTGTTTGCCTCAGTTCTCTCATCTATAAAATGAGCTGGAGAAGGAAATGCCAAACCACTCCAATATCTTTACCAAGAAAACACCAAATGGGGTCACAGTAAATTGGGTATGACTGAAAAAAGGGTAGGAAAGTAGGGAAATGCTGGCAGCTCCCTACTCTCGTTCCCAGAGAGGCCAACTCAAGTGTCAATGTGTCTGGACTTTCCCTTTGCAGCCTCCCGAGCCAAGCTCACAATGCTCAACACAGTGTCAAAGATTAGAGGGCAGGTGAAGAATCCTGGCTATCCACAGTCAGAAGGGCTCTTAGGCGAGTGCATGATTCGCTATGGAAAGGAGCTAGGAGATGAGTCCAACTTTGGTAAGTAGAGTATCCGTGGGTACCAGCCATTGTCTTAAAAGGTTAGCACAACATTCTTTCTTCATTGCAGAATTGGGGAACTCTAGATGTGAAATATTGTGCATATGATCAGCCAGGGTTAATGTACTGGCTAGTTTTATTTGCTTTTTCCACCTCTTTGTTTTTTAATCTTTTTTACAAGGAGTGGTTTCACTGAATAGGGGATGGGAGAGAGTTCTATTCAGAAACCACAATATAAAAACAAATTACGTAAGATAAAATTTTCCAAAAGGGGATTCAGGGGTTTCATTCAGTCAAGTATTTGTTGAGTGTTACTAGAATTTTAGAATCCTAGAACATTAGAGCTTAAAGGTTAGGTCAAACAGCATTTTTTTTTTTTTTACAGGTAAGGGAACTGAGGCCTAGAGAAGGGAAATAATTTCATCAAAGTCACAGCAAGTTAATAGCAGAGCCAGAGACAGAGGAACCTAGGTCCCCTGAACTATGTGCTCCAAATTATGCTGGGTATTAAGAGGGCTTCACAGGTAATATAAGAGAAGCTCCCTGCCCTCAAGGTTGCAATCTAGTTGGGAAAATGAGATTAATATAAATGAAGTAACTACAGAACAGGTATGTGTTAAATTGGATGGTATTGCTGGGAGACATTACTGGAGATCAGAAAAGGGAAAATGAATGGTCAGAATGCTAGAAGATGGTAGGACTTGATTGGTTCTTGAAGGACAGATAGGCTTTAAATAGGTGGAGTTGGAGAAGGAGAGTAATCTGGACTCTGGAAACAGTATGAACAAGGGGCACAGAGGTGAGAATGAACTGGTGAGTACAGAAGATCAAGAAGCAATGAATCTTCCTGCAGGAAAACGTATGTGTTTGGGAGCAATGGGGAGGGGAGGGTCAGGGATCCCAGGAAGCTGAACAGCTATGTTAACACAGCTATGGAAATCAAGAACAGTGGGATTAACCATTGCCCAGGGAAGAATCTTACTCAAAGTGCTCTAACTTGTACTTTCTCACTAGGAAATTGGGATCCATTAAAATAATTCTTTTAATTCAGAAGGATATAGTGTATTCTAACAGTTCAAATGTCATCTCAAAGAATTGTAGACTTTTAGACTTGCAAGGGATGCTACAAGTTGCCTAGTTTTAGGATCATTGTATTATAAAATTGGAAGGAAACTCAAGAGCTCATCTCATCCAACCCTCTCATTTAGCAGATGAGAAGAGTGAGGCTGGGAAAGGCCTCAGTAACTTAACCAAAGTCACCCAAGTAGTTGATGGCAGAGCCAGTACTTGAACCCTCTTTTTCTGATTCTCTTGTTCCACACAACGTACCAACCCCCACATTTTAGAGATAAGGAAACAGAAGTCTAGAAAGGGAAAGTGACTCTCCCAGGGTGACACAGTAAGTAGCAAAGTTCTATGTTCAGACCACAAATCCATGTTATTTTACTGCCTTGGGACCACATTGTTCATTTTTGAGAGAAGCCCAAGCACTTGCCTGGCTAAGTAGACCCAGAGCTCAGGAATCTAGACCCTTAGGCCATCATTCTTTCTGTTACTCAGTACTACAGGCTTCTCTTCTCATGTAACATCGCACCTCTCTCTGCTGATTTTGGACCCTGAAAAGTCAACCAGCCGGGGCCACAGGCAAAAATACTTCTTTAGTTGGAGCTGACAGCCAATTTGCAGTTTGTGGAGGTGGAGATGGAGGAAGTAGAAAGAGTTCACAAGGCTTCCTTCTACATCCAGCACCATCTGCATTGTGAGCTGAGTGCATCCTGTCTAGAAAAGTTTGTGGAGGAGACAGTTTCGCCTTCCCAAGAATAATTTCAAAGGGGTTGGAGCTGAATATAGTTGAGAGATATCTTCTGGTTGGTAACTTCCAAGAAATATCTGTCCTTGATTTGGAAGAAAACGTCTGCCTAGGACCCAAGGACACAGAACACAGGGCATAGGGAGTGTTTATGATGACAGAAATATTAGGGCAGCTAGGTTGCGTAGTGGATAGAGCACCGGCTCTGAAGTCAGGAGGACCTGAGCTCAAATCTGGCCTGAGACACTTGACACTTATTAGCTGTGTGACCCTGGGCAAGTCACTTAACCCCAATTGCCTTGCCAAAAAAAAAGGAAACTGAACTTAATTAAACAGTATCTCCTTCTAGCCTAAACTGTGCTTGTTTTAGCTGCTAAACTATTTCATAGTGTGGGTCAGAGGAGCCTGCATTGGCTTCCTTCACATTAGCTTCCTTCAGCTAGGAAATCAAGCTTTCTTGAACCCATCTCCATTGCTGCTCCTCATACAATCCACCATGAGTGACCTTCACATTCAGAGGTATTGAATTCTGAAGCTGACTTACTTTCTAGAAAACTTAAACTCATTTGTGACTTGCCTGTAGAAAACCCATTGTTCATTTAGAGTCTGTCTACTAAAGTAAAGTTCTGTAATACAGAATACTACCTCATTTACTGTGAATATAATGTAGCCTACAATTAGGCTACATTAATATAATATAAAATAATACATAAATATAATGTAGCCTACATGTAGACTACACAAATTCATCCCTCTCACCTCAGGCCTACAAATCCTTTGGCAGATACCTCCATATATTAGAGAGTGAGATGAGGCTAACACCAGGCTTTCTCATTCTCAGCTAGAAGGCTTTAAAATTCTAATCCAATTCAAAAGCATTTTTTAAAGTACCTACTCTGTGCTGAAGTCAATGTATTAGGCACTAGGCATACAAAGGCAAATCAAAATAATAAGTGCTTATATTCTGCTGGGAGGAGATATATAAACTGTTAAGAATATAGTTGAGGAGAGACTGAGCACAGTTGTCTAGGGGGATCAACGAAGACTTTCCATAAAGGCACTGATGAACTGAGCCTTAAAGGAAGGCAGAGACAAGGAGAGAATGCAGTGCAGGCATTGAATGTCAGCTCAAAAACCCAGAGATGGAAGAGAAGTATAACCTGGTGCTGAGAAGAGCACTGGATTGGAGTCAGAGAATGTGGGTTCAAAGCACAGCACTGTCACGGACTACCCAGTGTGTGACATGGGGGAATCGTATCCTCTCCTTCAGCCTCGGTTCCTTTTCTGTAAAATGAGGGAGTCTGGCCTTGATGGTCTCTAAGGTCCTGTCCAGCTCTAAATCCATAATGTTCCCTAGAGTCTGAAGTGGGGAAGGTTCATTACTTACTGAATATGTCGGGTAAGACTCAAACATAGAGTTCATGAAGGGGAACTGTTTGAACAAGCTTGGGAAAGTGTGTGGAAGCCAGGCGTCACCTGGCTTTAGATGCTGAGCTAAGGAAACTGTACATTGCATTCTACATCCAATAGGGAGCTCACTGGGTTCTGGAGCAGGGGAATGGCATGGCCAGGCATGAACTTTAGTAAGGTGATTTTTGGCAGCTGCCTCCAGCAACGGCCCCGTGAAAGGTTTTCGCCACCTCAGCCGTCCTAATACCCCTTCTTCTCTGAAGGTGATGCCCTTTTGGATGCTGGTGAATCAATGAAGCGATTAGCAGAAGTGAAAGATTCTCTGGACATCGAAGTCAAACAGAATTTTGTTGACCCCCTCCAGAACCTCTGTGATAAAGACCTAAAGGAGATCCAGGTACCTGCCCTACTTAATATTTCTCTGACCCAGCATTCCAGGCTGCAAGAACCAGGCCGTTTGTTGGCTATGATATGGTCCAGGGAGGTATGCACGGCCCCCAAGGTCGGGGGTGAGTGGGTGGAAGGCGCAAAAGCAGACCCAACTAGTGATCATTTATAGAGAAACATAATAGAACTTTGTATTTACCTTAAAATTTCACAACCCAGCATTATGCTTCTCTTTGTTCTCATTAGCCATCAGAGAATACCTCTTATACCCTTGGCAGGGGATGGATAATGACATAAGTCCCCCTTCCCTTCCACCCCTCCAGTGAATCAGTTGAAACAATATTATAATAATAATTCACCCTGTTATAGCACTGTAAAGTTTACAAAGGGATTAACATACTGGCTACGTAGCACCCTGCAGCATTTTTTCCTCCATATAAAACTGCTGGAGCCATTGTTTAAAGGAACTCCCAAAGGATCCCAGTGATCTGTTGTCACAGAGTCCTCATTGTTCATGGAGCCTTTTTCTCTCCCTCCCCCCACCTCCCACCCCCCAGCATCATCTGAAAAAGCTCGAGGGCAGACGTCTGGATTTCGACTATAAGAAGAAGCGTCAGGGAAAGATACCAGATGAGGAGCTTCGTCAAGCGATGGAGAAATTTGAAGAGTCCAAGGAAGTGGCGGAGACCAGCATGCACAACCTCTTGGAGACTGATGTAAGTGCTTCCTCTTTAGGGGCTTGTTCAGATGAGAATCGAGTGGGTGAATAGCATAGCTGTTTATCTGTTCTGTTCCATATTAAAAAGGCAGCCTGGTGTTGTAGAAAAATACTGGATTTGAAGTCTGAGACCTGACTCCTCACTATACCTTGGTGACCTTGGGCAAGTCACTGAACTTTTCTTAGCCTCAGTTGCCTCTTCTACAACATGAGGGAGTTGAACCAGGTGATGTCTTAGGTCCCACCTATCTGTTAATCCTATAAAACCCAAGTCTTGTTCAGCTGCCTCCCCCACTTGGACTTGTGTGGCAAATGTTCTTCAGGAGCTCTAGCCTTAACATGCTTCTTGCAGTTTTACCTGGAATGCTGCTGTTTTACTTACTCCCCAGTATCAGTCCTCTCCTGCAATTCTACTGTATTTTCTTATAAATCTGAGCTTCAATTCAGTGTAGGGTGGAGTAGTGAGGAAGTGGAAATACAGACCGATTTTTAAGTGTTAACAGTAATAATCTCACATTTCTGTAGGGTTTTATGCCCAACCACCTTATGATGTTATACAGGAATCTCTATCCCCATTTTACAGGTGAGGACACTGAGACTCAGAAAGTGATTTTGCCCAGGGTTACACAGCTGAATGGGCAGCTAGGTAGGTCAGTGGATAAATTGTCAGACCTGGAATCAGGAAAACCCATCTTTATGGATTCAAATCTGGCCATAGACACTTACTAGCTGGGTGACCCTGGGCAAGTCACTTAACCTTGTTTGCCTCAGTTTCCTAATCTGTAAAATGAGCTGGTGAAGAAAATAGCAAACCACTCAGTGTCTCTGCGAAGAAGACCTCAAAAGGAGTCACAAACAACAACACAGCTTAATAAGTGGGGGAGCTAGAGTTCAAACTTAGGTCTTCTGACGAGCTAGTTCTTTCCATTCCATCAGACTGCCTAAATACGCTTTAGCTAGGCGGAGAGATAGGAAGACGCTTTTGTATATAACAACAGAATCTCATGAGAGAAGGTGCCTGGTTGTTGAGGGAAAAGTTGAGCAGTCAGGTCAGTAGCTCCTGGCCTTCAGCTCTGCTAGAACAGCCTCCGTAGGAGAGATGCCAGCCTCAGGCTACTGTGTTTCTTGCAGATTGAGCAGGTGAGCCAGCTCTCGGCCCTGGTGGATGCCCAGCTGGATTACCACAGGCAAGCAGTACAGATTCTGGACGAGCTGGCGGACAAGCTGAAGCGCAGGTGAGCTTTGTCAGCGAGGCAGACGAAGAGAGAGGATGTTGGCCTCTTGCCCATTCTCCCTCTTCCTTGGCTTTCTCTGTGCTTTCCCGAGCACACAGCAGGAGACTGGCTGCCAGAGAGCTCATTCTGAATGGGCGGTTGGGATGCAGGCCCTCCACTGGGCTTGGCTCTCTAGATCCTCTCAGGGATGGTTAAGTTTTTTCTCCTGAGAACTCAGCCCTGGTCTTTTCCCCTCAGTCTCGGAAGAGCCTGGTTTCCGCAATTGCTTAGGAAGCCTGGAGCCGACACCAAAAGAACGTTCTTCACTGACTAATCTAAGAGGCCCTGTTTTTTCCATGTGATCAGCCTGGCTCTGAAGGGAGATGGGAAAGGGATGTCTTGTTGCAGTCTGAGCCACAGCAATAGCGACCTCTGCTGTTACGAGAATAAAAGTGCACTTTCTTTTATCAGATCCAGAGCCTGGCTAGGGATTATCTTTAACTATAAAAATAGCAGTGCATCAAGGTTTATAAAATCCAATTCAACAAATTAGGAGGATCAGGAAAGGCCGAGTTGTGGTGAAGGAAGTAAAGGATTCTAGTAAGTGGAGCCTAGGATCCTAGATTTCTAGCTGTAAGGGACCTTAGAGGCCCCCGGGTGCCACCCCCTCCTGTACAGGTGAGGGGCCCGACACTTATCGATCCAGATGAAGTCACTTGCCCACAGTCATACAGGCATTACGTGGCAGGAGCAGGCTTTGACTGTAGAGCCAGAGGGTGCTTCTTTTCCACTGTACCACAAAATAAATTAGAACATGGTTAAGTATATAGTAAAGGTGGAAGAGAAAAGCATGAGTCCTGTTTTGTAGAATGTCAGCAGTGTATAGGATTCTGTAAAATATCTAGGGTCTGAGGGGCCTTAGAGATGATCTCCAGTTCCTCCATTTTACAGATGGAGAAACAGACACTGAAACCAAGAAAGTGAAAATAACTTATCTAAGGTCATATACTTTAGTAAGGGTCAGTCAGTACAGAAACCCGGGACTCCTGCCTCAGTTCCAGTGACCCTTCTGTAATACCGTGCTGCTCCTCAAAAAAGTAATTACTTCAACACCACTAATGTCCGAGGCACCTGCTTTGTGTAGGGGACTGTGCTAGACACTGGGAGATCAATATAAGGACAAACTATGACATGGTCCCCACCCAGGGGGTGAGGGTGGGGCTTACAGTCTAGTAGGAGGAATATAAGACACATACACCGATGACTAGACTGTAAATTCATGGGTGGTGTGTCAGAAGTAGGAGAGAAGGCATATGGAATGGTCTAGGCAAAGGCACAGAGATGCCAAAGTTTGGCCTGCGTGGGGGAAGCATAGCAAGGAACTGGACTTGGATGGGGCATAATGTACAGAGAAGGGAGCCCTGGGAGATGCACCTGGGGAAAGTAGTGCAGAACCTTTTTTACAGTACTAAGGAGTGTGAGTTCTGCTTTGCAGGTGACTGGTTGTCATCGAAAGGTTATGAGCAGAGAGGTGACTTGATCAGATCTATGTATAAGCTATGCCAGGTTGTGTGAAGGATGAATTGCCAGGGACAGGGAAGAGAGGTAGAAGGCGGCTGCTGGAATAGTGGAGACAGGTGAGGTCCCTTCCTGTGTTGGTCTCAGTGGAAACAGAGACAAGGGGATGGATGTGAGGAATGTCATGGAGCTAGAATTTGAAGGATTTGGTTATTGACTTAATATAGCTGACACTGACAGGACAGTGAAGTAGCTTTTGGCACAGTGGTTACAGCACGGGGCCTGAAGTCACAAAGGCCTGAGTTCAAATTTAGCCTCAGGCACTTAGTAGCTATGGGACCCTGGGCAAGTCACTTAACCCCTGTTTCCTTAACTGTAAAATGGGGATGATAATAATATCACTTACTTTACAGGGTTGTTGTGAGGATAAAAATGATAATATTTATAAGCCACTTTGCAAAACTTAAAGCACTATGTAAATGTTTACTATTGTTGTTATATGAGAGAGGAGAAAGGAGAGGCAGGTCAGATTTACACTAAGGTTACTAACATCAGGAGGACAGTAAGTATCGTTGGCAGAAATGGGGGGGGTCAGAAAAAAGAAGCAGATGTAGAGGAAAAAGTAAGTTTTGTCTCTGTTGAGTTTGGGGGACCTGATAGGATATTCAGGTAGAGATGTTCTGTAGGTCCTGGGAGATGGAGTTCTAGAACTGGGGAGAGAGATCAGAGCTGGAATAAAGCTTTGCAAGTCATTTTTGAGATAAATGACTTAACTTTCCTGAGCGCCTCAGTTTCTTCATCTGGAAAATGTTGGATTGGATGGTCTCTGAGGTCTCTTTCAAACTAAGCTCTAAAATCTGTGGAAGTTCTTGAGATTTTCAGGGAAAAGAATATGAAAATAAGAGAAGAGGTCCAAGGATTGAACTTTGTGGAATATCTCTCTAAGAGATGCAAGATGTGGACAAGGAGCTATCAAAGAAGATAGAAGATCAATTTCCCAAACTCAGCATTCCTTTTTTTTGCCTTCAGGCCTTTATACAGGCTGTCCACACCTTCCTCACCCTTCCCAGAACATAGCCCCTCTTTACCTTTGCCTCTTAAAATCCTTAATTTCCTTCAAACTTCAACTCAAATTCCAGCTCTCATAGGAAAATGTTCCTGGTCCCACTGGTGTCTAGTGCTCTTCAAATTAGTATCAATTTATCTATTTAAATGTTTTATTTTCTTAGCAGAATGTAAACTCTGACCTAGTAAGAGTTTGGACTAGTCTCTGTTACCTTGAGTTACCAAATTCTTTTGTATGTGTAATGGGCCTTATGGCTTCTACAGTAGGAAGTAAGCAAGACACCAGCCAGGGCTTGTGAATCTTTCAGATTATGTAGCGTTTTGTCTGAATAACTTTTCCTGGCTGTGTGTTCAGTGTACCCAAGAGGAAGGAGCTTTCCTCTCTAGTGCTGACTCAGAGCCAGTCCTTCTCTTCTTAATCCCAGACAAAATTACCTAAATGTCTCAGATAGGGACTTCTCCAAAACACTGGCCCCAGGGAGGCATAGCCAGGGAAGAAGCTTTTGGTCACAAAGTGCTGAAAGGATGAAGGTTTCTACCAGGTCCCCAGGGTAGTTCCTGCTAGGAAAGGGCACCAGGAGCTGATAAGCAAGTCTCTGAGTTGGACTGCTTATCCTGTTCAGGATTGAGAGCTGGAGGGCCCTTAGAGGTCTTGTGCAAAACTCTCATTTTACACTTGAGGAAACCAAGGCCCAGAGAGGGCAAGAGCTTTCCCTATAGGATCATATAGCAAGTTATTGGCAAAGCCAGAATTCTAAAGGTACTGTGACTCCAAATGCAGTGGACCTCACTTCCTGAGGAGGGGAGGCAGATGCTGTGTGGGAAAGAATATTGGATTCAGAGTCATGAGACACCTGGGTTCAGTTCCTGCCTCTGGAACTTAACTTGACATAGTACTGTAGGCAAATTACTTACTCTCTGTGAGCCACGGGTCCCTCCTCTCTAAATTGAGGATGAAATTTGGAGTACTTACTTCACAGGGTTGTTGTGAAGGTCAAATGAGATACAGATATAAAGTGATTTGTGAATTTTAAAGCCATTTGGAAATGTCAGTTATTATCCACTTGTGTCTCTTCTCTTCATTCATCCTTTTGAGGACTTGCTATGAGGAAATCAGTTTATCAAAGAACACTTAAGATAGCTTGCTCTGAAGTCCTCACTTAGGATAGGATCAATCAGAAGTCAGGGACTTTGAATAGGGAGACCTGTTTTCCTTTACTAAAGCCCCTTCTTCCTTCAACTTACCATGGTATAAAAGTGACCCTGTGCTTTCAAGGTTATCAAAGTGCAAACTGGAAAGGTTTTGAATACAGAGCTGGCAACACAAACTGAGCTAGACTGGTCCTTGGATGGTGGAGACTCATCACCAAATTGATTAACACATGACAATTTCCTTTTTTTTCCTTTTAAACACAGAAACCATGAAATTTAAATCTACTAAAGTATTGAACTGAGTCAGAGATGTACACGGGAACTTAAGAGGTACAGAAGTGTACAGGGATATTCAGGATAACCTAGGAAGAGCCACTCACCTTCTGAATTTCAGTTTCCCTGATTTCAAAAGTTAAATGATTTGCATAGCTTTGAAATAGTCATATAAAGGGGTTTTCTGATTTCAAAAGACTAAGAATCCCAAAGTCATCATGTCCAATCTTTGGAAAAACAGTATGGAACAGTCATAACATTGTGGAGGGAGAAGGAGGCAGAGGAGAGAGAGGGAGAGAGAGAGAGAGAGAGAGAGGAGGTTGTTCTGACTTTACCTGTTAGACTGTTAGTAATAATGAGGATACAACCCAAAAGTGCGGGTAACTCAAGCATTTGTGCTTCAGTCACTAGCCCATATAATTCTTGGCACAGTACTTATGTGCACCACCTAGCCTGGCACTCACAGATTATTTTTCATGTATGTAGGATGCGGGAAGCCTCTTCCCGTCCGAAGCGGGAATACAAGCCAAAACCTAGAGATTCCTATGACTTTGGAGAGCCTGACCAGTCCAATGGAGGTTTCCCTTGTGCCCCAGCCCCCAAGATCACAGGTAATTATGAACCCAGGCAACAGAAAAGGTAAGGGAGGTTCCAAGATGGGGCAGCTTGGGCAATGAGGAGATTCATGGGCCTGTGTTCGGTGAGTGTGCTTTCCTGAGGGTGGTGTTGTCTTTCAGACTCTAAGAAAGAGTCACCCTCCTCTCAGAGGTCCTTGGATGCCACCTCAAATCCCTACCACTATCCCTATTCTTATCTTCCCTAGCCTACCTCCTGCCCTGTGGGAAGGAAATACGTCAGTCTCCCTGGTGCTTATTCCCAAAAGCCTCTGATCACAAGAGGCAAGGTCCCTTTGGGGATCTGGAATTATGGTCACATACAGCCTGGTTGTAAGTTTATCTTTTTGTTTGATTTGGAAGCAGCTTCTTCCTCTTTCCGATCCTCTGACAAGCCCATCCGGACCCCCATCAGGAGTATGCGTGAGTGTGCCCTCAGCTGCATGCATCCTGTCACTTCTGGCCGGTGGATTCTTTCTCGTCCACCTTCCTCTCTTCCTGTTCTCTTTCTCTTGCTTGTGCTTGCCTTCTGTTTATTAATGCCTTTGCTTTCCTTCCTTTTCTGGGTGGAACACTAACACGTTGTCCCTAAGAGGACTGTCTTTCCATAGCAGTTAATGATTTTAGGGTTCTTTAATCTCATGATCTCCATGTGTATGAGCTCCGGTTGATCTAAAAACATGATGCTATTTCTTCAGTAAGGTTAGGATCAGGCTGTGAATGGAAATGGATGAGGGAAGTTAATTATAAACCATAAAAATTATAAATCATAAAAAAACCATTCAGTTGCTCACTCATCGGATATTGTGTTTGATGTGTGAGCCTCCGGGGACAATATAGAATACAGTTAAAACTTGATTCTTGCCCTCATGGCACTCACAGTCTAGTTAGGGGATAAGCTACAGACTAGAGACTTATAATGTATGGTCTAGTACATGACATATGTATGACCAAGGCACAGAGCAATATGCTGCTACCTTAGGGGAGGGGGGGGTGGGGCAGCGCTTGAGTAGGATTTTAGCAAATAGGGTGAGAATACCTTCTAGGCATCAGGAACAGTGTAAACAAAGACACAGAGGTGGGAGATTCAATGTCATTCATTTCAGCATGCATTTATTAAATGCCCACCACTGTATTCTAGGCTCTCTGCCAGGAAAGGACAATATAAGTTCTGGGTTCAGAGTTGCCCGTTTTGGGTAGATGTGCAAGGGGTGTGTGTGACATAAAGCTGCCAGGGGTCCTGGCTCTTTTTAGGGTCAGGAGCTTTCAGGGCTTCTGTAACTGAGAGCACTAGGAGTAGTACCTGGAAAATTCTAGAGTCCCTAAGTCAAAGCTCTTGATGGGGGAACAAATCATTCCCACTTGTATAGAGAAAATTTTTTAAACCCCAGCCACCACCAGTGTGGGAAGTCTGCATCATTTCCTGTGGCACCTATGGGAAGCTTTTGAGATTCAGCATATGGAGCACGTGCATATCACCACCATCTTGGTGCCTTTTGGGTCTGACCTCTGGACTGGCTCCTGTAACACCGATACTAATACCTCACAGTGTCTCCTTTCACGTGCAAGACTAAAAATGGGCAAAAAGATGTTTCAGGAAGCACTTCATCCCATATAACTGAAGACAAGAAATGGGGTATATAGTGTAGACATGGAGCTGGGAGTGAGCAAGGTGTTGAAACCCCTCACTGATGGCACGAACTTTGTGACTGGGGGCAGGTCCTTTAACTGCTCTGAGTCTCAGTTTCCTTCTTCATCTCTCAACCAGCATTAATCAGTGTTAATAATACCTTGTAAGTACCCACCTTATAGGACTGTGGTGAGTCAAATGAGATAACAGTGTAGGCAGAGTACTTTGTAAACTTTAAAATACCATAGAAACATTTGTTGTTGTTGTTACCATCATTGCAAATTAGCAGTTAGCTAAATGATGTTATAGTAGGGTTTTGTGACTTTACAGTAGAATTGATTCAATTCAGCAAGCATCGATTAAGTATCTACTTTATGTCCAGCAGATACTTGGTACTTGGGATACAAAGACAAAAAATAGTCCCTGCCCTCAAGGTTCTTACACTCTTTTGGGAAAAGTGCCATCTACACCTATGAGTAAATATAAACTATGGACAAATAGGAAGTCACTGATTTGGATAGGTCATACTACTTCTGTGAACACATGACTGGGGTGTTGCATTGCCAAAAACTAAGGGCCAGAGTGGTTGAGTGACTTGACTGAACCCAGCTAATTAACACATCTAATAATCAGATCAAAGTAGTCTTCTGCCTCCAAATCTAGTGTGCTTTCTACTACAGCATGGTGCCTCTCTTGTTCTCAGGGACACTGCAGCTAGCCATACCCAGTTTTCCCTCTCAGTTCCCTGCTGTGTCTAATTAGTATCCTCTTGGTGACTTTTGCCTCCTCCAAGTAAGGAAGTAAACATCACCCTCCAAAATGAGAGCACTGGCCATAGGCCTAATTAGGCAGGTATAGGAGAGACTTTCTTAAAGGAACTGGGTTTGATTGACTGGCGCCCCAAGGCTGGGAAGGGTAAGAGAACAAGATGACTGCCCGTACACTGGATCAAAATGGATTCTGCTCCTGTTTGCTGTCTTCCTGCCTGTCTCTCCAATGGACCTATAGCAAAGGGAAAAAAAAAACACAGGGGCCTCTAATATCCTACTCCAAGGCTTGCTACAACTGTCCCCAAAGAGCCATAGAAAAGGAAAACCCAGCAGCCATTTCCCTGGAGGCAGGACCTGCAGTAAACTTGGTATTGTCATACAGTATAGACATGGAAGAGCCCTGCTGTGGGAATGAGAGATGAATTACGGGGGGGCTGTGAATCTCTTATTATAGCAAGGGTTCAAATGGGGCAAGAGGAGAATCTAGTGGTGAGGATGCTCTGTTGCCCAACATAGCAGCCATTTCAAGACTTGTTTTTCTGAGTGCTGCAACAAACTTGTGCTGAAATCACCCAGCCAGTATTATTTAAGGGCCTACTTTACGTTCCCAGTACCAGAGGAGAATAAGAAATGGTCTCTATTACCAAGTTAGCATAAGCAATTAGAGAACAGTTAGGTGCTGAGTCTCTGTGAGTTTAGAGCAGAGATTGGTGTGGACTGGGAAGCTGGGGAAAGGATTCCTAGAGGAGTTGGGACTCCACTCGGTTCTTGAAGGATGGATAGCAGTTAGTTAGGCAGATGGACTGGGGGGGATAAAGAAGAGGCCATTCCAGGCCAGGAGGATGGCACAAGCAAATGTTGACTTAAGGAGTAGAAAGTGCTGAGGACAGACTGCCTGCCCAGAGGAGAAGCGAGAAATGGGGTAGGGTAAATGGATTCAAAAGGGCAGCTAGGGGTACGTGGATAGAGTGCCAGTCCTGTACTTAGGAAGATGCATTCAGATGTGGCCTCAGACACTTAACTAGCTGGGTAACCCTGGGCCAGTCACTTCACCCTGCTTGCCTCAGTTTCCTCATCTGTAAAATGAGCTGAAGAAGGAAATGGCAAACCACTTCAATAGTTTTGCCAAGAAAACCCCAAATGAGGTCACCAAGAGTTGGACACGACTTGAACCACAAAAAGGTAGATTTAGTGGATTTCTGCTGTGTTTTTCCTCCAGTGCTTCACTGTGGTATGGTGGGTATTCAAAAGCAGGAGCTAACAAGCTAGGAGGATTTAAGTAAAAAAAGTCTAGTGACTTTGTGAAAACACGTTTGTCCAAAGGTGGAGAGACTCTTTACCAGAAACTTCCCCACAGAAGAATCATTATATGTGAGTGTGGGGAGTCGGGGAGGAGTGGGCAGTGACAGACAGACTGGAGGATCTTGAAAGCCAGAGAAGTTTCATAGGGTAGGAGGATTAGAGGTTCTCAGGCAAAGACAGTGACAGAAACAGAGGCTCTTTGTAGAGTTGGAAGGAATCTCCAGGCTCATATGATGAATGCTACATTCGTTAGGAAATGAGGTAGTAACCCAGTTGGGTTAGGGCCTGCCAGTTGTCATGTGTGCTGTTCCATACCCCAGGGAGGCCTCTAATCACTCACGGTCTCTGCTCTGTGTCTCTTCCCCAGCACCTCTGGACCAGCCCAGCTGCAAGGCCCTATACGACTTTGAGCCTGAGAACGATGGGGAACTGGGCTTCAGGGAGGGTGACATCATCACACTGACTAACCAGATTGATGAAAACTGGTACGAAGGCATGATCAACGGCCAGTCGGGCTTCTTCCCCCTCAACTATGTGGAGGTGCTGGTCCCACTACCTCAGTGAAATGGCTGTTCTCCACACCTCCCTCCCTGCCCTCCCTTCCTCCTCCTCTCTCCTGTTCCTCCCCCTAATGAGGAAGGCCAGGCCCGATCTCCTGCATTCCATTTTGTTCCTGGTGACACCAGTCTCTCACTGGAAGACAAATGGGATAGTGTTAACCCTGCCCATGCCAGAAGGGTGTCAGATTATCTGGACTGGGTGTCCCTTCTACTCCGTCCTTCCCAAGGATTTGGTACTTCCTGAGAGACCTCAAGGAGATTGCTGCCTCCCCCCCCACCCACCCAGTCCCTTTGGCAAAGGTTCAGGCAGCAAAGCCCCTAAGTCCTGACACCTGTGGTCAGGCTCAGCCTGCCCTGGGAAGACCAAGCAGTGGATGTACCTAGTTGAGTTACAAGTTGAGTATAAGCAAAGAAGGATGAGCCAGTAAGTTTTAATCAGTGGAGGGGGGATTGTGGTGTTTATGGTGATGGAAGTGGAGAAACACAGTTTGTTTAAATCACCTAGGTTTACATAAGACACTAGTGACCACCCAAGCTTTTTTTGGTGAGGAGGGGAGCATCCTCCCTCCTTCCACCTTTTACCCCCATCTTCCCTCTCTAGACTTTGTCCCTTCTTCATTCCCCTTCTACTTGCTGCTTCTGAGGGGCCTGGGTGGACAGGACTCATTTACTCAACTGACTCCACTAGTCACGCTACCCCTCTCAGCCAGTCCCTAGAATCTCCTTTGGATTGGGCTTGGCTGTGAGGCTCCCATGCAAAGGGGTAACACTAAGGTGCTCTTAAAACACTAAGCTTCCTGCCTCAATGCTTCCTCGCCTGAGCAGCCGTCGTTCCCTGCTCAGGCCCCTACCAGGGAACTTTCAGGGGCTGTCCCTCAGTCTTTTGAGTGTGGCCCGGTTCCTTGGTCTGCGGCCATAGAAATTCTCAATCTCTCACCCCCACTCACGGCCCTAGCTGTCACTTGTTCCCACTCCCTGAGATCCTCAAGGTGACTTGGCAGATTCTGCCCCCCTCTCTGAACCAGACTGGGAAAAGACCTGCAATGCTAACTAAAGCAGTAGCAAGTGTTAGACCTGGGGCCACCACCAGGCATCTCCTGAGAAATGTTCTGTGTGGTCTTTAGGGAATGGAGGAGTGCTGTGGGAACAACTCCATCTGGTCTGTTCTTCCCCCTGTTGGTCTGAGTAGCTCTCTTCGCTGGCTGTGAGTCATTAGGCCACAGGGCCTCAGAGGACTGAGGACCGAAACACAGGAAAGCCAACTCCCTTACCCTGTGGGGCTGTCCCTAGCATGCCTTGCTTGCTTGCAGCCTCCTCCTTGGAGCTTGGATGTTAGGACTTGAGCTGGAGTCAGGGACTGTTCCTGTAGGCATCAGCCAGGTCCCTATTGAGGTCATGGCCCTCTTGCCTCAGGTTCTGATGCCTTAACTGGCTGAAATAAGAAATTTGGTATTCTCTCTCTCCCTCTCTTTCCCTCTCTCTCCTCTCTCCCCTCTCTCCTTCCCCTCTCCCTCCCTCTCTCCCTCTCTCTCCCTCCTTCTCCCTCCCTCTCTCCCTCCCTCTCTCTCTCTCCCTCCTTCTCCCTCCCTGTCTCTCTCCCTCTCTCTCCTCTCTCCTTCCCCTTCCCCTTTCCTTTGCTTTCTTCCTCTCTTCTCTCTTTTTTTCTTGGCAGGAGCTAATGTTAGGTGTAGCAATGTGGGCCAGGCTTTGGAGACTTACCTATACTATGGTGATTTTGAGGTGTAAGAGGCAGCGTGTTCCATGGCCTGGCTTTTACATTCTCCTCAGATTTGCATCCTTGTGATTCCAGGAGCCCCAGGCTCAGCCACAGCCCATTGCAGGCAATGGGTCCCAGATCCCTTTAGCATCATCCCCTTGTGGCTTCTCTGACCAAAAAGCAAAAGTTTTGCATAGACGGCATCTCCTTGAGAGCCTGAAGATCAGCCAGGGCCTAGTAGACTCCCCTGACACCCACAGGCCAGCTGTGAGAGAGGGAGGGGAGGAATGGTATGGCAGCTGAGGGCTGAGCCCTAAGGAACAGCCACAGCTACATACAACTCACACACAAAGAAGAGTGTTGCCCTGTGCACCCCAGCCCTGGTACCCTCCTCCAGCAGCACTCCTGCCCCGTGTTGTCTCCTCCGCTTCATACTCTTCTAAACACAAGAGTTATTGCCTCCTTTGCAGACACTGCGTCCCTCTCTTTGCTCCCCTTAGCTGGCAGTGTGACAGACACAGAAAGCGGTGTATCCTTGTAACTCTTCTTTTAACTGAGCATGTTGATGTATGTTTGTTACCCATATGGCAGCTGCTGTTCCACTGGCACTGCTAGGGTCCTCCTTCCCCACAAAACAGAACATGGGACCACAGGAGCCGGAGAGGCTCTGGGTCGCCAAGCCCCCAACAAACCAGTCTCCTCCTGTGAAGGGTTAAGCACAAAGAGTTTAATGAACTGAACCCTCCCTGAGAAGCCTACCAGACTCCGCTGTGGCACCTATTCCCTGTCCCCTCTCCTTTATGATTTATCTCTCATCTCCTTCTGCTCCCTGATGCCTCTCCCCCTTCTCTGTCACTTCTCCTGCCCCCGCCTCCATCACCTGGCGCTGAGCTATGTCAGAGTTGGGACCCAGCTTCCAGCCCATCAGGCGTTTCCCTTCCTCCACTCATCTCAGTGGTCCTGTACCAATTTGGGGCAGGTCCCTAGGGTCCTGAAAGCTCCTGGGCCAGCCCCACGAGCAGCAATATGAAATAGCTTCACAGGACCCAGTAATGCTAGAATCCCTAGAATCTCTGTAGTCCCAGCCTGGAGTCTAGTGGTGCCACCCAGGCCTCCACAAGCCTTTTGGCTTCTGTCCATTCAGTTCTAGACAAGTATGAAAAGGAGAGGATGGAGGTATAGATTAGCCATATCATCAACATTCCCATAGGCCACCAGGAGCCACCACTGTATTCAGTTGGGGGGAGGTAGGGGAGCAGGGTGTCTTCAGATGATCAATATAACTTTTGTTACAGTTTCTCCTTTGTCTAGAGCAAATTGAATTGTAATCTTGATTTAAAAAAAAAAGTATTAAATGTTTTCTCTTTCTAAGAGCCTCTCCTTTACTTTTCATTGTCTCTCTGGTAGGAAATATTTCAGAATTTTTTCCCTAAGCAAGCCATTCTGGTAACCCTTTGCCAGAGGAGAAGCAAAAGGAGAGTTAGCTGGGCAGCTTGTGAGGTTGTCATAGGATTTAGAAGTGGAACAACTTAATTCTGCAGATGCCACAGGCCCAGAAAGATTAAATGTCTGCCCAAGGTCACACTGTGCTCCTGCTACATCACACTGTTAAACACCAGCAGTCAGTCAATAAGTGTTAAGGGCCTACTATGTGCTAGGCATAAGCTGTGGAAATAAAGAGATGCAAAAGACAGTCACCGCTGTCAAGGAGCTCAGTCTAATGTGGGAGACACCATGCAAACAATTCTGCACAAACAAGCTATAAATAGGAAATAATTCTATTTAGAGGAAAGGCCCTAGAATTAGGAAGGGTTGGGAAAGGCTTCCTGTAGCAGGTGGCATTTTAGCTGAAACTTAAGGGAAGCCAGCAGATGAAAGAGCATCCCAGGCATGGGGGACAGTTGGCAAAAATGCTTTGAACAAAGCGCTAAAATGGCTTGTTCACGCAACAGCCAAGAGGCAACGTCCCTGGATTGAAGAGGCCACGGTGGGCTGAGGTAGAAGAAAGCTAGAAAATGGGGGGGGGGGAGGTATGAAGGGCTTTGAACACCAGAGTATGTTATATTTCATCTTGAAGGTGATAGGAAGTCAGTGGAGCTTATTGAGTAGGGGGGTGACAAAGTCAGACGTGCTCCTTTGGAGGATCACTTTGACAGCTGAATGAAGTTACGAATGAGGAGAGATGAGGTCGGTGGACCCACTGGCGGGCTATTGGAATAATCCAGGCATGAGATGAACACCTAATATGAGCATGATGGGCAGAATCAGAGCAGACCATGGGCATATCTGAGAGATGTGGTGAAGGTGAAACTGACAGGCCAGGCAATGGATTGGATGGGGGGGAGGGGTCAGAGGTAGCGAGTAGTCAAGGATGATCCCTAGCTTTTCTGCATGGGAAGACGGAGTGGTGCCCTTAGCAGCAAATAGGGAGGTTTGGTGGGACATAATGAGTTGCTTTGGACCTACTGAGCTCAAAATGTCTACAGGACATCCATCTAGTTTAAGATGTCTAATAAGCAGTTGGAAATAGAGGATGAGATCTTAGATAGTTTGCGAATCATTGGCATAGAGATGACAATTCGATCTATAGGAGCTGATGAGATCACCAAATGAAGTAACAGGAGGAGGAGAGAAGAAAGCCCAGGACAGTTAGTGAGCATAACCTGGATAAGGATCCAACAAAGCAGCAGTCAGGAGGACCAGGAAGGTGTTGCCCCAAAAGCCTAGAGAGAAGAGTTATCAAGGAGAGGGTGATCACCAGGAAGGACTGCAGAGAGGTAAAGAAGAACAAGGACTGAGAACAGGCCATCAGACTTGTCAATTAATTGGTAACATAATTGGTAACCTTGGAGAGAGCAGCTTTGGCGGAAGCCAGATTATAGGGAGTTGAGAGGGAGGAGGAGGAAGCGCCTATTGTGGATAGCCTTCTCAAGGAGTTTAGTCACAAAAGGCAGCAAAGAAGGGACAGTTGTTAGTGGGGTTGGCTGGATCCAGTGAGAACGAAGGCGACATAGGAATGTCTGTAGGCAGTAGAGGGGCAGCCAGATGGGGAGATATAAGAGAGTGGGGATGACAGAGGAGGCAAACTCCTAGAACAATGAAATGTGACGTGGTCATTTGTGCAGGGAAGGGTTGGCCGTGGCAAGAAGGGCTACCTCGTTATGTAGGATGGGGATGGAGGAGGAGACAGTGGCAGGAGGCATCTGGGTGAGTCAGGAGATGAGCAGGGAAGGGGGAACTCTCAGTGAACAGCCTCAATTATTAACGGCCAGCACTAACATTTCATGTTCCTGGACTCAGAGCAGTGCCACTCAGCCCATTTTATAACAATGCCTTGATATGTGGTACCGTGCTTTGTCCTTTCAAGAGCCCTGGACTTCATGAAATCCATTATTTCATTTTAGCCTCACACCATCACCATCTGTGAAGCAGACATGTAGGCCGTTTTAGAGTCAGAGCCATCGAAACTCAAAAGTGAGAAAGCAGTACTAACAATTCCCATCTTTATGGTAATTTAAAGTTCACAAAGCACTTTGCTGATGACATGGTTGTTTTACAAATGGAGAAACAGGCCTAGAGAGGGGAGATGCCTCATCCTGCCTCGCCCACAGCTGGTGAACGTCAGGCAGCATGATGCAGTGGCCAGAGACTTGGAGCCAGGAAGACCGGTCTCAGGCAGTTGCTAGCACTGGAACCCTCAGCAAGGCACACCCTCCCAGCCTCAGTTTCCTCATCTGTAAAAAAAAAGAGCACCTATTTCTCAAGAGTTGTGGGGGATAAAGTAAGATAATGTATGTAAAGCATTTGTAGACCTTAAATGATTATATGGAGGTGACAACTGGATTCAAACCCAGATCTGACCCAGACCCAGCCATCTTTCCACTGTGCTATGGCCAGCAGGGGCTAACCTGGAAACCACCACTGCCTCTCTGTGGTCAGACTTTGTGGTTCTGCAGCTGCCTAGGGTGGCATTCTTGTTACATCCGCATCAGCTGTGTGTCCAGCCAGCCAGACAGCTCGAGGAAGGCCAGCAGCTTTGCTGAAGTTTGCCCATTAAGGGCAAAAACATGTGAAATAGATCAAATCCCTCTAACTACTCAATTATTCATCTGCTCTCTAGGCTCCATTGTAATCAAACCATAGGAACTACAAGGAGACCCCTCAGCCCTGGGCCTGATTCCCCTCTGAGAGTCAGAAAATATTAGCCAAGAACGTGATGTGCCTTTTTTTTTCTTTTTTCCACTTTATTGACTGAACACTACCATTGCACAAATAAGTTACACCTGAATGAAGTGGCACAGCAACAAGTGAGGTGCCGCCCCCCCCCCCCCCCCACCCGCTACATCCTACAGCCCAGGGCCAACAGGGCAGGGAGAGCACAGACACTCGACATGCAACACAGCAAAGAACTGGAGAAACAGAGAAGCCTGGTCTGGCTCCTCCAGACTTGGCATTCCCCCAACCCCCCATCCCTAGAGTCAGACACTTAGTAGCCACTTTCCCACCCTGAGGGCAATGGTCAGTAGTACAAAATAATAACCAGCTCCTGCCTCAGAAGTTCACATGGTACAAGGATGATGCCAGCCCTGCTAGGGGCTGGCCACCTTGGGCTGTGGGGCATCGGCTCTCCCCTGCCACCCTTAGTACATCAGAATCCAGAAGCTATCTGGCCTCAGCTGCTGTTCTTAAGGAGACAGTAGACCTGTTCCAAGACATGGCACAGACCTTGGTCCTTTGGTGTCCTGCTGGCCAAGGAGACCTGAAATCAAAGTCGAGCAGTTATGGGATCAGGCCCTGAAAAATTCCTGAAAAGGCTTTCTGGCCCATTCCTACCTCCAACTTTATACAGAAACATCTCCAAACCCGAGTGAGAAGTGAGGAATAAATAAATCGGTAACTTCTATTTTTCTTCTCAGAAAATAGGCTTGAGAAAGTTGTGACTTGCCTATGGTCACATAGAGAGCTACCCTAACTCTCAGCAAAATCACGAAACTGGTATAACAACATAGTTCCTGACACATGGTGAGAACTTTACAAAACGTTTTTCATTCATCAACATCCATCCTGGGAGCTGATCATCTCATTCCTACTGAGGTGTAAGCAAGGACTTGGAACACTATCCCTGCCTGGCGGTGCTCATAGTCTAGAAGACTATAGGAAAAGCACCATGTCAGTCGCCAGGAAGGGATCTGCTAGGGAAGGTGAGAGGAGCACCGTTAATGGCTCCTTCCCAGTAACAAGAAGAGTGTTTATATAGCACTTGCAATTTTGCAAAGCATCTTATGTCATTTGGGCCTCCCAACAACCCTGTAAGGTGGGTGCCGGTATCATCCCAATTTTATGGAGGGAATGGAGGCTGAATGAGGTTAAGAGACTTGCCCAGGGTGACACAGCTAGTAAGTATCTGAGGCTGGGTTTGGACTTGGGTTTTCCTGACTCCAGGTCCAGCACCAACTAACTGTAGAGTTTCCAGAGTAATGGGAAAAACAACTTGCAAATGCATGCCCTGGGTTTTGGTGTAAACCACAAGTTATATATATTTTAGGAGTTTAGCTCCCCAGTGTGGGGAGAAATACTTAAATAATTCAGACACACCTGGGTCACAATCAAGTCCTTACATAAACATGCAGTTATCCTTGGAAAAAGAAGACTAAAAAGAACATTAATTCAGGAATCTGCCTGCCACAGGAACTCTGGCCTCCAAATGAAGTCAGCAAGCTCTATGTGCAAGACGCCATAGCAGAGGCTGAGGGAGCACCATAGAGGTAGCGCTGCATGCTGGCCATGCTGGACTTGGGATTCCTTCTCACCTTCAGCTTGTCCAGATAGGTCTGCTCTTGGTTCCACAGGTCTTGAAACTTGACCACATCTGGGGCTCCTTTGTAAAAGTCCACCAGCAACATCTACATCAGGGCCAGAGTGAGGCAGGAAAATCGCCCAGTGTCAGCACCAGTCAGCTTCAGGCCTGGGAAGGGCCCAACCTTCCCAGGAACTGTGAGCTCCAGAGCCAGATTGGGATTCTGGGACCTCGAGGACTCTTTCCCTTCAAAACTTCCTCCCATTCCTCCTCTCCCCCAACACGTCAGACCCTGGGTTTCCAGGCTGTGCCTTTCATCCCATCTCCCAGAGCCTGCAGTCTCACCATTTCATGGAGGATGTCATTGGTCAGGAACCCATCCTGGACGTAAGTCATCTCTACTTCCATGGGGATCCCATAGTCATTGGGCCTTTGCTGTAGAAAAGGGTAGCGTGGGTCATCCCCCCTCTATTCTCCTCTACCTAGACCTCTTTCTGAAGAAGCCCAACAGAAGGCCGGATGGTAAAATAGAGTGGGGGAGTTAGAATCAATGGGTCTGGGTTTGAATCTCAGCCCTATTACCTATTTATCTGTACATATTGTGTGTCCCATTAGACGGAAGCTCCTTGAGGGCAGGAACAAACCGTTTTTGCTTTTTCTTTGTATTCCTAGTACTTAGCACATAGCTCTCAATAAACATTTATTAGAATAACTGAATTGCAGGATTATAGCTTTTTAAGATGGTCTTTTAAAACAAATCATTAAGTCTAACACCCTTATTTTTTAAATGAGCAAACCGAAGTCTGTAAAGGGAAAATCACTTGTCTGAAGTTTTACAGCTAGGAAGGAGCAGGGCCAAGATTCAAATCCAAGCCCACTGTGAACCCAGTGCCCTCACTGGCTATGTGACCTTGGGCAAGTCACCTGTTTTTATGGCTTCAGTTTCCTTCCTTGTAAAACAAGATGGGGCCAAATGACCCCTCTGGCCCCTCTCAATTCTAACATTTGGTGAGTGTGGAGACTGGCTGTGGCTGTTGTTCCTGCCATTCCATCTCAGGGCAGTGACCTTGAGGGATCAGTCAAACAAGGACCATCCACTGCCCTGAAGATGTCTCTGTTCCCTTCCAGAGTCAAATTTCCATTCCAAGCACCACCCCCCGCCCCCGGCATTCTCAAGGTGTTACATGGCGACTTCCTATTGGGTGGAGCTCTACACCACAGTCATCCATCACGGTTATGGTGTTCTGTTTAATTCAGAAGGATGGGGTCACCAGTGTAGGTAGATGCTGTAGGCCCAGGAGGGAGGCAGCACCACCAGCAGTGAGAAAAGTACTGGTTCTGGCATCAGAGGATGTAGGTTTGAATTCTGGCCCTCCTTCTTATTACCCATGTGGCTTCAGAGAGAAGTTACAACCTCTCTCTCCAAACCTCAGGTAAAATGAGGCTGCTGGACTAGACAGGCTCTGAGGCCCTTTCAGCTTGAGCACTGTTTGATCTCATAAACAGCTCCCATTCCTCCAGTGATCCGCCTTCCACACAATAACCCTCCTCAAGCCATACCAGCAGTATTTACTGTCCCCATTAGACAGCAAAGCGGAGAGTCAAAGGAGGGAGATGGGCAGCCCAGCTCTCCCGACTCCCGCGTCCAGTGATCCTGGGATCAAGTATGTCCTGAAGCCAAGAGAACTAGGTTCACGTCCTAGTTCCAACACCTGTGTCTCTGAGCACATCATCTGACTTGTCTGAGCCTCCATGCCCTTACCTGTGGAGGTAAAAATACCCATCCATTCTCCTTCACTGATGGGTGACTGTAAAGACAGCCTTCTGGGAGCCTTTAGGCGCACTACAGAAGTGTAAGGAGTTGTAATGTCAGTATTCTGGTCCGCTGATGCTTACCACACATGCTGTAGATGGGTCACTAATTTTCAAATTATTTCTACTTAATAGACTCGAATGTGCTTTAGAGAATTCACAAGGCCCTCCTGATGATTCTTCTCCTCTTGCCCACGGTTCACACCCTCAGCCCCTCCGCTGATGTAAGAGCCCCATCTTTTCCTGCTGTGGATTAGCAACCATTACCTACCTCTGGTGGCGGCATCACCCAAAATGGAGAAATCTTGGACTCGGGCCCCTGGTTTCCCGAATAATAAGGGGCTGAGAAAAGAAGGGAAAGTGCCAAAGTCAGGAAGAAAGTGGAAAGGAGATGGGCTTGGCAGTCACTCCCGTCTCTGCTACCTGGGGTGCTGATCTCTCATGCCAAGCTCAATTATTAAACCAGGCCTGGTGGCATCCTTGTCTGTGTTAGTCTCCCTAGGACCCACACAGCCCCTCTCTTTTCCTCCCTCCTCCCTAGCCTGGGCCTCCTGGATACAAGCCTCAAGCTGAGCTCACCGCACACCAGGGCAAGGCAGGGCTGGAAGCTGTTGCCGCTGCCCTGCAGCTTGAGCTGGTAGTCCATCTGGGCGTCGATGTCCTGCAGGGAGGGCAGGGCTGGGCTGCAAGGGTGACTGTGGTACCATCCCACCAGGGACAGGCCACGGAGGAACAGGCTCTGGCAGATCTGAGAAGGGGGAGGGGAAGAGGAAGAAGAGGGAGACAAGAGGTAAGACACACACGCACCCCCTACCCAAGAGGTGCACATGGATCCACGTGGGCACACACACACACGCGCACGCACACACCCCTACTCAAAAGATGCACATGGATCCACATGGCCATACATATGCATACACACATACGTGCATACACACACACACACACCCTACCCAAAAGGTGAACATGGATCCACATGGGCATGGACACACATGGACACACACAAGGCATAAAGAAAAGAGCTGGGTTTGAATCCCACAAGGTGTAGGACCATGGGTGAATCACTTAACCTCTGCCAGCCTCTGTATCTCCATGTCTAAAATGGAAATAATGATACTGGTATTATCAATCTCACAGAGGGAGTATAAGGAACATGCATTGGGAAAAAGCCTGATGGAAGTGCTGGAGTCAGGAGAGACCTGGTTTGAATTCAGGATCTGCCACTTTCTATGTGACTTGGGGCAAGTCACCTCTTGTCTGAGTCTTGGGTTTGCTGATGTCTCTAACAAAAATAATACTTCTAATACCTTCCTCACAGGACTATTGTGAAAAAAATGCTTTGTAAGCCTTAAAATCCTATATAACTGAGTTGTTACTGTCATCAACACACATGCACACACAAACTACACACATGTCCCCTTCATCCCCTCTTCTGCCCATCGCCATATGCCACCAGTAGATGTCAAAGGGGCGGAAGACACAGGGCCACACTGCCCTGCCCCCCACTCGACATCAGGCCCACCTCCTCCTCAATGGCGGCTGCCGTGTCAGCATCGCCCAGACGGCTCCTGCAGGGGAAGGCTCTCAGCACCGTCAGCACTGCCCAAGCAGGGAAAAGAAGGTATCAGAGTGGCTGCCCAGAGCTGAAGATCTTCTCCAACCCTCCATGCCCTCCCCAACCCTTCCCCTGGCTTAAGAGGTACCCACACTGGCTGTTGGTGTCCCAGCGACCTCCAAGGTAGCCCACGACCTCACTCCTCGTCAAGTGGCTGTGGAAGTCCTGAGACCAGAGGATGGGGATGGGGTCAGAGGAGCAGCGCAAGCCTTGCGCTACCGCCACAACCAGTTCATCAGAGATGCCCAGTAGTCAAGTCATCATGCCCCCAATTCTTCTTCCCCCTCCCCCTTCTGCTCTGGCAAATCCCTGGGCCAAATTTAAGGAAGCCATGGCCACCATCTTTAAGTAGAGTCCCAAAGCAGGGCCAGGCCTCATCTCCCCTGGGTGAGTCTGTCTTTGGGGATTTCACTGACCCTCTAGGGCTTTACCAGAAGCCATAATGGCACTGGGGAGAGGGGGAGAATAACACTTATCACAACTGCACCCTTACAGGTCATGGAATTTCAAAAAACCTGATCTAGCTAATATAGCCCAAGCCGCAGCTTCCGGAGTCTGGGGGACACATCCTGGCTACTCACTCCCTCCCTTTCAGGGCTTTGCACCCATGTCAGCTTACATATATCTATTCACTGGAAACACAGGAAGGAAGGCGGAAGGTCCAGAGAGACAGAGGAGAGAGGGGAGGAAGTCCAAGGGAACAGAGGAAGTCAAAAGGCTATGGGGCTAAGAAAGAAGACGAGGCAACTCCAATGGGACAGAGGAAAGAGGCCCAGGGGAACAGAGAAGAAAAGGAGGAGAGGCTCAGGAACACAGAGGAAGGAGAGAAGCAGGGAGGCCTGACAGTACAGAGGGCAGACTGTGGGGGCCACACACCAGTAAAAGCAGCACGTTGCTAGACACGGACACGTTGAAAGGCTGGAACTTGTTGATGGCTGTGAAGGATGTCACCTCTACGAGGGTATGCGGATTCCTGCAGGCCCAGGAGCCCCCACAACCTCAGGCATGGATTCTTCTCTCCATCGGGGTATAGCCCCAGGGAAAAAAAGCTCCCACCCCATCCCCAGCTCAAAGCCCTTTGGTCTCTGCCCAGGAGTCAGCGGGGGTGCCCATGCTGAGAGTTTTGGACTGATGGTTTCCTTGCCGGGACTAGAGCAGGGTAGCAGGGCTGACCTGGCCAAGTCTCGGCTGCCCAGGGTGCAGTATCGGACTGGCACCCTGCCCTTATTCTCTGGCCGCTTCCCAGGGGGTCCAGCCTCTGTGAAGGAAAATGTGGGGGTGGGGAGACGACAGAAGAATCAACCTTTGCCATGCCCCTATTCCTAAACCCAGCTCACTGGGAAATGGCCTGGGCCAAGGCTAGAGAACAAGACGAAGAAAATCAGGCAGAGGGTTGGGGAGGAAGAGAAATCAGGTCATGAGGTGGGGGAAAACCACAGCAGATTTTACATACCACATAAAGACAATTTATAAAAATTACTTCACTGGGTAAGTGGGGATGAATGCCTCATTTCTACACATGAACACTGCCTATATCCCACCCAAAGGCTTGACCCTTACAATCCCGCACTAGGAGGGAGGAAGGATGGGCATTATTACATATGAGGAAACTGAGGCTCTGGGATGAAACGAGATTTGCCTAAGGTCACAGCGAGTCAGAAGCAGAGCTGAGGCTGCCACACCGGACTTCCTAACTCCCCGCTCAGGAATTGTGCCGCTGCTCAGAGGGGCCCAGACGTGCCTGGGTCGGGAGACTCTGTCAGGACTTTTCCCAGCTGCTTCCGGCCCTTCTCTTCCCAGAGGACAGGGGTTGAGGTTGAGGCTGGAGTCAGCATCCTCCCTTCCCGAGCCACTGCTGCTTCCTCCTCTTCCTCCTCTAACAGTTCTTCCTCCTCACCCTCGCTGACCAGGCTCTATGGAGACAGAGACAAATGAAGCCTGGTCACTTAGGCAGCCCTAGGCCAGCCCTGCAGGCCCAGTGGAAAGAACAGTAGATGGGCAGCCAGCAATTAGGAGTCTGAAATCTCGGCTCTGCTCTTCACTACCTATGTGGCCTTGGGAAAGGTCCTCAGTCTTTCTGGGTCTGTTTCCCCATCTGCAAAATGAGACGGTTGGCCTAAATCAGAGGTTCTTAACCTGGGGTCTGTCAACTTGTTTTTAAAAATATTTTGTGACTTTTTATTTTTTTCTTTGTAGTTTTCAACACACTTTGATAAGATTTTGAGTTCTAAATTTTTCCCCCTCCCCAAGATGGCATGCAATCTGATAGAGGCTATACATGCACAATCATGTAACTTTTTCAATGTAATTTGTTTCCTTTGTAATCCTGTGTATTTTATTTTATGCACTTAAAAATATTATTCCGAGAAGGGTCCATCCATAGGTTACACCAAACTGCAAAAGGGATACAAGACACAAAAAAAATGTTAAAAAACTCTTTCCTTTGACTCAATGATAGAAAGATCCTTCCAACCCCAAATTCTATTAGCCTAGTGCCCCCTACTGGCTACAATAAGCAATGACCACCAAGGGGGCTAAACTGCTGGTCTTTGAAGCAGTGCTATTTCTCCTCCTGTGCTCAGTCTCTATCTCTGGGGTCCTGGCTCTGGCCTGGGCTTCTGCCCCTCCCACCCAGACTCTGACCCGCTGGGTCTTTCCTGCCTAGGTCTGCAGAATGATCTTCTCGAAGAATCCTAACCCATCATGCTTCTATGGCCCTCCAAGGTTTCCATAGCGCTTTCCTCACAACCCTGAGGTCAGTAGTTCAAGAATGATTTTATAGATAAGAGTATCTATCATTTTCTAGAGGAGGAAACCAAGGCTTATAAAGGTTAAGCATCTTGCCCACTAAGTGTCACGGCTGACATCGGAACTCAGTTTCAGCGTGAACCTCCTCCTCTCAAGGCCAATTCTGGTCACATTTCTCACCCACTCATACATCTACGGCTTCCACTGTCCCAAAGTCTCTACTCTTCAAACAGTGTTGGAAGGCTCTGATTATCTGGACCCAGGCTCCTTCTGCAACCTCTTCTCCCTCCCCTATCCTGTAGCCCCCGTAAGTCTTCGCCAGCCTGGCTTTTCCCCAACTCCTTATAAATATTAAATTTGGGGGCAGCTAGGTGGCGCAGTGGATAGAGCACCGGCCCTGAAGTCAGGAGGACCTGAGTTCAAATGTGACCTCAGACCAAACACTTGACACATACTAGCTGTGTGACCTTGGGCAAGTCACTTAACCCCAACTGCCTCACTTAAAAAAAAAAATACTAAATTTGATCGCATCTCTCTGCCTTTAACCAGGCCCTTCTTTCACTTCCCATCTCCATCTTTCAGGCTCATCTTTAAGAGGTCTGACTTGACCACCCCCAGACCTGGGAATCTCTCCCACCTCTGACATAGTCAATACCCTACTATTTAGATCTCTCTGGGTTGAACCACATTGGGGGAATTAGGGGAACTAGGTTGGAGAAAGCCCAGCAAAGTCTTGACTGATTGGAATGGAAGTGTTAATGTGGTGATTAAGTGGTAAGAGTACCTAGGTTTGAATCCCAATTTCATCTTTTATTGCCTTCTCTGAGCCTCAGTTTACTACTTTGTAAGTTGGGGGTAATAATCCTTGCACTCTAACCTCAGACAGTTGTGGTAATCTGTAAAATTGCTATAGAAATATAAGATATTATTGACAGAGATGGAAGTGAATCAGGGAAAGAATGGAACAGTTTCACCCAGCCCCCTCATCGCACCCTCAGTTCAACCTCACCTCCTCTGCAGCAGAGGGAGCGTTGGGCTGGTGCCGCTTCAGCCAAGTGGCCTTGTACTGGTCCAATTTCTGACCCTTGTATTTGACTGAGGCCCAACCACAGCCTGACTTCTTGGCTGGGTTCACCAGCTTCTTGCAATAGGTGGCCCAAGCACTGGGTGAATTGAAGACCTGGCCAGTCTCTTGCCAGGTGATCTTCCCATCTGGCAGCAGATCCCCAATGAATTTCTTCCCCTGGAATGAGAAAGGGAGGGAAGAGGGGTAAAAAAAAGAGAGAGGCCTAGAATAAGAGCAGTGCTTTCCTGTAGTAAATACAGGACTATCCCCCGAACCCAACTCCAGAATTACTCCACAGACAGGAAAACTGAGACTCAGGTTGAAGAAGATACTTGCCCACAGTCACATTTCTACCTAGTGTCAGGCCAAATAACTGGGGGGGGGGGGGGGGGGGGGGGGGGGCGGTGCTTAGAACCCAGGGGATGGACGGTCCAAGGTGGGAGGGCCGTAGAACTAGAACATCTAACCGCCCTGTCCATCCCACCAACCCTCATTTTATGGACAGGGAAACTGAATGGCGGAGAGGGGTGGTGGGGTCGGCACAGTGCTCGGGTGCCCCAGCCTCCCATTCCTGCCCGGGCTCTCACCAGGTAGTAGATGGAGAGGACGCCGGACCCGGGCTCAATAAGGGCATCTTTGAGCAGCACCCGCAGCGTGATTCCTCGCCGGGTCAGCACGCAGCCGCGCCCGCCCCCTCCCGTCCCACCGGCCCCACCGCCCAGGCCGTAGCCTGGGGCTGCCTTCTCCGAGTCCTCGGAGTTCTCGGGGCCTGGCTCCGGCTCGGGCTCCTCCTCTTCCTCCTCCAGCGCCTCCTCCCCGGCGAGGCCGGCCCCAGCAGGGGACTGGGGATCTAGGGCTGAGGACACGGGAAGGCAGGAGGGCGCAAAGTGGGCACGGGCAGAGGCCCAGGGGCAGGCTGGGCGTGGGGGACAGGACACACTGGCGAGGAGCGGGGGCGCTCTGGGAGGACTGGGGGGCGGGCCCGGGGGAGGGCGAGGGGCGGGACCGAGGCACTCGAGGAAGCTGCGGGGGAGGGTAATGCTCGGGAGGTCAAGAGCTAGGCCAGGCCTGCGGGGAGGGGTTCAGGATCCCAGGAGTGGATGGACCACGGCTCGAGGGGATGCAGGCGAGGCCCGCACGAGCAGGCGGGAATGGGAAAGGGGAGGCCGGGCCAGGACCCTCGGGGGCCGGCAGGGGCCCGCCTTGGGCTGGTGGGGCGCGCGGGGCGGGGGCGTCCGTGGGTCAGCCCGCCCCCGCCCCCGCGTTCGCACGCCCCTCCCTCCCCCGGCCTGAGTACCTGCCATAGCACGGCCCGACCCGGCCCGGCCCCGCCGCTCCGCCTCCGCTCGTCCGGCTCCGGCTCCGCGCCGGCTCCGGCTGCTTCCTTCCCGGCTCGTGACGCTGTTCCGTGTGTCCCCGCCCCGGACCCCGCGCCCGGCCAGAGCGAGGAGGCGGAGAGGAGGGCTCAGGGTGAAGGGCGCCCGCCCTCCCCCTCTTCCCACCACCCCCGCGCCTGGGCGAGTGGCTCCTTCCGGGAAAATGGGTAGACTGAGGCACAGCCCAAGCCTAGCAAGGGTAGGGAACCGAGAGAGAAGCGGGAGCTCGGAGCCAGGCCCCTCCCCCCCCCTCCCCTACACACACGCTGTCCCCACGATTCTAACTGGGCACGACCTCAAAGCCTGCGTTACGGGCACGGGCTGGGCCGGCGAGAGCTGCTAGGGGTCCTCCCCGCCTCCAACACCAGAGCCCATCCACCCCAAGCCCCGACATTCCCCCGCTCTGATTGGTCCCGAAGCCGCAGCCACCTGCCAATCGTGGCAGAAAGCCCTCAGGTATGGCCCGATCACTGACTAGAAAGCGTCTCTCTTCTCAACCAATCAGTAGCATCCATAGACCTCGAGTAGCCAAACAACAACAGCTTCTGGAAGGGCTTAGCCAATCAGCAGCCACTCCACCTCCTGACCCCGCCAATCGGGGCGCGAGGCAGGACCCATTTGCTGAGGGTTTGACACCTTCTCGGCTCACGTGGCACCCCGCTGATAGCTTGGGCACTCCCAGATCTATGGATGGCCAGGACTTTTATCTCATGAGCCGCTCAGGTCTCCAGCTAAGGTCAAGTTCCTCATTTCCCACACTTCTACTCCCCTCGCAATCCAGGCCTGGACGCTGCTGCTAATTCTTATTGTGGTTTAAGGGCAGAGAGCGATCCATTGCTACTCCCACCTCTCCTGGCCAGACTCAAGCTATCCATGAGAGTGCCATGACTCCTACTATGGAGTCAGAAGGCATGGGTTCGTGGAGAAGGTGTTGAAAGTGAGCCTGAAGCACTATATGAATCATAATCCTGACCCGGAATGGCCGGGGACTGTAACACCCGAAAGCCAGGAGTACTGCATCTTATTCCAGCTCTCTGTGACTTTTAAAGGGGTAATTTCCCCCTCTTTCAGTCTCAGTTTCCCCCTCTGTCAAATGAGGTTTTCTAAAAAGTACCTTTCAACTCTGACAGGCCCCTGCCCCAGGGTCTGTCGAAGTTAGCCTCCCTCTGCCCCGAGGGGATGGGACTAGATGGTCTCTAAGTCCTAAGAAACAGTGTTGGAAAATTCTGAATCAAGGTTTTCCCTGTTGTGTTACTGTCCCCTGGAAGTGTGGAAACGGATTAGGATTCTTTTCCCATCTCTACTATCTCACACTGGAACTTCTCAGAGTCGTTTTTAAAAATAGGTTTCCTTCTGTGTAGCAGAAATGGGGGGACCTGGGTTCTTGTCCCAGCTCTGTTACTATGGGAGTTATCTCTTTGGGCCTTGGTTTCCTTATTTGTTCAGATGGGGAATATGATCCCTGACCAGCTGGGAGTAATCTGTCCCTCCTCAAATTTCTCATAGTATTTTCCTTGGACTCATTTAAAAGTTCTTTTGAGTCTGGGTTGCTATCACAGCTTTTTAAAATGAAGTTGAGGTCATCATCCTGGTCAAAGTACCATAATAATTTCCAAAAGGAAGTGATACTGGAGATTTCTGCAGAAGGATTATAGCTTCTTTGCTCTAGATTTTTGAGCACTTTTCTTCTCATTCTCTGTTGTATCATAGTTATTTTCATATATGTCTTGATTCCCATTAGAATGTAAACTCCTTGAGAACAGCCCCTATGTCATGACTGTCTTTGTACTCACAGGACTGAGCTTAAGGCCTTCCAAAGATAGGCAGGTAGGTAGGTAGGTAGAGTATTTACTCTCTACCAGGTGCTGGGCTAAGCACTAGGGATGCAAGTACAAACAAACAAGATAGTCCCTGTCCTCAAGGACTTTACATAAAAGGGTGCTGGAAAAGGCTGGAGAGGATTCCCAGCAGCACTGTGAGTGCACCAAAGGTAAGGCTTTGAAGGCTGGGGCCTGGGTCAGGTAAGGTAAAGCTTACCTTTTGAGCCAAGGACTCCATAATGTAAGAATTGGGATTATAGGATTCCAACTTGATCTCTAACAGGAGACCTTGAGGTGGCCTAGCCTCAGATGAAGACAAATCAAATTTTCAGATGACTCAAAGGTAGGTCAGCTAACATAGCTGACAATCCTGGGATCCCAAAAAAACCCCAAAACAAAACCAAAAGAAAACAAAGCAAAACCTCCTAACATGCTAGAGAAATGTGCTAAATCTAATACGCAATTCAGTAGGAATAAATGTAAAGGCCTATATTTGAGTTCAAAAAATCAGTTGCACAAACACATGATGGGGGAGACATGGCTAGACAACAGTTTATGTGAACAGGGGCTGAGGTTTTTAGTGGACTAAAGGCACATCATGAGTCAACAGTTTTGTACAATTGCCTAAAAAGGTAATGTAATATCACTCATAAAAGCATAAAGTCCTGATCAGAGGAGGCTATAGTTCCGCCACCCTGCCGTAGTCAGACCCCATGTGGAGTATAGCCTTCATTTCAGGGTGCCACATTTTAAGAAAAGGGAGGATATTGAAGAAAGTATGGGTGGTGGGACTCTAGACCATAACATGTGAGAACCAGTGGAAGGAATTGCAGATTTTTAAACTGCAAAGAAAAAAAAAAAAGACAAAGGGGCCACGATAGATGTATTCAAGAATGTGAAGGGTTATCGTGGGGAAGAAAGATGGGAAACATATTCTGCTTGGCCTCAGAGGACAGAACTGGAAGCAATGAGGGGAATAAAAACAACTCATATTTATATAACTCTTTTAGGTTTATAAAGTGCCATATTATAGGCAGAAAGATTTTGGCTCAATGTTAGGGAAAATTTCCTAACACTTAGAGCAATTCAAAAGTGAAATGAACTGCCTCATGATGGAGTTCCCTATCCCTTAAGGTCTTGAAGCAGAGGCCAGATAACCACTAAACTCTGATGTTGTCATGGGGGACTCTTACTCATACAGGGGCTGGACTGGATGCCTGTTGAGCTCTCTTCCAAATCAATGATTTGGACAGTCTAGGCAAGGAGCATTTATTAAGCCCTCTACTTACTATGTGGTAGGTGCTGTGCTAAGGCATGGGGATATGAAGAAAGGCAAAAATAGTCCCTGCCCTCAAGGAGCTCACAGTCTAACAGAGGACACAACACACAGACAAACACGTTCAAACAAGTTCTCTCTCCCTCCTTTCTTCCCTTCCTCCCAGGATAAATTGGAGATAATCAACAGAGGGAAGGCACTAGAATTAAGGGGGACCAGGAAAGCACTCCTGTAGAAAGCAGGATTTTAGTTGAGACTTGAAAAAGGCAGGAGAATCAAGGAGATGGAGATGATGAGGGAGAAAATTTAAGGGATAGGGAAATAGCTAGAGAAAAATGCCCTCAATTATTGGGAGATAAAGTGTCTTATTCAAGGGGCAGCTAGATGGCGCAGTGGATAGAGCACCGGCCCTGAAGTCAGGAGGACCTGAGTTCAAATGTGACCTGAGACCAAACACTTGACATTTACTAGTTGTGTGACCCTGGGCGAGTCACTTAACCCCAATTGCCAAAGCGGGGGGGGGGGGAGTATCTTATTGAAGGGACGGCAAGGAGGCCAGTGTCAACAGATCGTAGAATACATGGAGAGGAATAGGGTGTAAGAAGACAGGAAAGGTAGGAGGGGACCAGATTTTGAAGGGCTTTTAAAGCCAAATGGAGGGTTTTATATCTTATCCTGGAAGTAACAGGGAGCCTCCGAAGTTTATTGAATGGTGGCAGTGGTACGGAACATAGTCTTGCACTTTAGGAAGATCACTTTGACAAATGACTTAAGGATGGACTGGTGCAGAGAGAGGCTTTAGGCATGGAGAGCAACCTGAAGGCTATTGCAGTCATTCAGGCAGGAGGTGGTGTGCGCCTGAATAAGGGTGGTGGGAATATCAGAGGAGAGAAGGCATATACAAGAGATATAGAACTGACAGGACTTGCAAGAGATTGGCTATGGGGAGGAGGGTGAAAGAGTGAGAAGCTGAGGATGACACCATGGCTGCAAAGTCCAGATGACTGGGAGGATGTCTGTCCCCTGGACAATAATTAAGAAGTCAGGAAGAGCAGGAGAGGAGAGATAATGAGTTCAGTTTTGCACATAATTGAGTTAAAGATTTCTATACAACATTAAGACTTCTAACAGGCAGTTGGAGAAGGATAATGGAAGCAGGGAGAGTGATTAGGGCTAAATAAACAGTCCTGAGAATCATCTGCATAGAGATGATCACTAGAGCTGATGAGAGCAGCACCAAATGAAATAGTATAGAGGGAGAAGAGGGCCCAAGACAGACACTTGGGTGATACCCACAGTCAGTGGGCGTGACATGAATAAAGAGGCAGCCCTTTAAAGAAGTCTAAAAGGGAGCGGTCAGACAGGTAGGAGGGGGGATTAAGAGAGAGCAGCGTCAGGAAAACCGAGAGAGAAGAGCATCAGAGACAAGGACAGCTTTGACGTTTTCTGGTCTAAGGTCTCTTTTAGTACTGTGATTCCAAGTACAGAGAGCTGGAAAAGCAGAGATTTACTGCTCATCCCTGGTACCTGCACTTCCACACCCAATCACTTCTGGGAAGGGAGGGAGGAAGGGAGGGCCCAGGGTCACCAGGAGCAGAGGGAGAGGAAATTCCCTTTCGAACCTGTTCCTCTGCTTCCTGCTCCTGTTGTCTGTGAGCTGCCCGGCTCCCTGGACTCCGGGATCCCTGGCCCCTTCCTTCCCACAGCCATGGCTACCGCCCCAGGACTACCCAGGGCCCCGAAATCCAAGCCAATCCTCCCTTCCCACTACTATGAGGGTTTTCTGGAGAAGAAGGGACCGAAAGACAGGGTAAGGATAAGAGGGCGGGAGTCAAGGGAGAGGAGATTGGGAACTGTGCCACAGAGTAAAGAGCCTTAGGTTCTAATCTGTCACTATCACTGTCACTGATCCTCTGTCTGAGCCTTAGTTCCCTCCTCTGTCAAACAAGAGGACTGAACTAGAAAATCTCTAACATTCCTCCTAAAACATTCTCTGTTCTAAGGACCCTTTTAGCTCTGACAGACAGGATTATGGAGCTCAATGTAGTCAGGCTCTGGAGCAATGGATTGGTGCCAGGGAAGTCTTTTCCATGACAGTCTCTTTCTCTGTCTCTGTCTCTCTCTTCCCTTCTTTCTCTCTCTCTCTGACTGTATCTGTCTCTCCCTCCTTCTTTCTCTGTTCCTGTCTCTCTTCCTCCTCTCTTTCTGTCCCTATTTCTCCCTCCTTCTCTCTGTCTCTGTCCCTGTCTTTCCTTCCTTCTGTCTCTTTTCCCCTTCTGTCTATGTCTCTCTGTCTCTGTCTCTCCCTCCTTTTCTCTCTGTCTCTTTCCCTCTTCCTCCTCCTTCCTCCTTCTCTCTGTCTCTCTCTGTCTCTCTGTCTCTGTCTCTCTCCTGCAGATGGAAAAGGGAAGTTGTTGAAAACAGATAGGAACCCCTGCTCTTCTGGACACTAGCTACTTGCTGCACTGCAAAAAGGATGGAAGGATACCAGGATCCTAAGGCTGTTGTGAGAGTGTGGGGTGTGGAGGTGTGTGTGTGTGTGTGTGTGTGTGTGTAGATAGTCTGTGGGTCCAGGGCCAAAGAGTGGTTCTAAGAATCACCTAGCACGACCATATGGCCATGCAAATAAAGATATGTGTGCTTAAGGAGAGGAGATCAGGAACTCTGTTGACAGAGTTAGGAGCCTTCGAATCTACTTCCCAGTTCTGTTCCTGATGCTCTGGGTGACCCTTCTCCTGTCTCAGCCTTAGGATCCTCCTCTAGCAAACAGAGGAATTGAACTCAGTAATCTCTAGAGTTCCTCCTAGAATATTCTTTGTTCTAAGGACCCTTTTAGCTCTGACAGACCCATTCAGGGCAATAAGGTCATAGAGGTCAATGTAGCCTGGCTCTGGAGCCTCAGAGACAAAGTAAATCCGTGATCTTACCACGGTCCTTAACATATCGGCTGGTGAAGCTGTAGTGATGACCACTTTGGGGATTGAGTGGAGCAGTGCCTTTAACATGGTCTCCATATAATCTTGTGAAGCCATGACCTCCAAATGTGGCTCCAGTGGGAAATCAATGAGCCTATGACATTAGCATTTGCTGGTAAACATATGACTTCAACAGAAAGGCTCTAGAGGGGCCTTCTGTGAGTGGCGTGAGATGCCAAGAGCAAGAATAGGCCAATAGAGCAGCCTGAAGCCTGTTGAGGCTGAAGTGAGAGGGGTCCTTCTAGGGGTCACCTTACCTCCCTGTCTCATGTTTGTCCCTCTCTCTCTCCCCCTTTGATCCCCAGGATTATAAGAAGTTCTGGGCTGGCCTCCAGGGCCTCACTATCTATCTCTACATCAGCAACCGAGACCCCCAGGTAAGGAAGAAGGGGCAAAACATCCCAAACCTCTCTCAAACACACACTCTGGTTCTTTCTACACACCCACCATCCCCTATATATCCACAGTTGGGTTGGGCAAGACCTTTCCCTAACTCTATGGCTTGGTGGAAAGAACCCTAGGTTTGTCTCCAGAAGTCCTGGGGTCTAGTCTTAGCTCTTCCACTTATTAGCAATGTGTCTTTGGGTATATCCCTTCCCTGGGCCTCAGTTCCCCTCTTTGTAAAATGATGGTGGACCTCCCTCTCTATAATTCTGAGATTCAATCCAGGAGTATAGAGCCTTTCAGGAAGTGTGATCTGTGTAGCTATGAGAGAAGAGTGGGCCCCCAGAAATCTAGCCCATTCTCCCATGGAAACAGAGGATTAAGACCCTGGCATTCCCTACAGTATGTGGAAAAGGTGGACCTGAGCAACTTTTTGGCACTGACAGATGATGCCCCGAGGGGTGGCAGCACCATGGACCCAGGCACTCATTTCTGCCTGTCATTGGAAGGTCAGGAGATCAGATTCAAGGTAAAGGCTTCCCTGGGGCTGGAACGGGGAAGGGGACACAGCCCCTGGCCACCAGACCCTTCCTAGTCCCTGTTTGCAGGTGGACAGTCTGGAGGCTCGGGAGATGTGGAAGGGCTTCATCATGACAGTGGTGGAGGTAAGACTCCCCCTCTTCTCTTTCACCATCCCCCTTTCCCTCCCTTCCAGGACTGGAAAGGTCCAGCTCCAGCCTCTTCCTCTGCCTCCCTCAAGAAGACAATTCCCACCTGGGACTCAGGTCCCAGGGCCCATGCTGTCCTGCTTTGCTCCCAGACAAAATCTACCCTTCTGGGTCTGGAACAGAAGGCTCTCTGCCCTCTGAATCCAACTTCTTGGTCCAGCCCCTTCTCCTTTGAAGATCTCAGGGCTGGGCTCCTCCAGGCACATGGACCTATCTGTCCCTGTTTCCCTCAGAGTCAACCTGCTTACCTTGTGTTTCTTCCAGACAGTGAGCTAGCTCCCTTTTTTTGCCTTTCGCTGCTCCCCCTTCCAGAACCCTGTAGTGTGTCCTAGCTAGGATAAGGAGAGTTAAGAGAGTAGCTCAGTAAACCTACATCGAATTGAATTGCAGCTGAAAGTCCCATCCAACCTGACCCTGCTGCCGGGACACAGATACATGATGGCTGAGGCCCTGACCAAGGAAAAGGATCGTCGAGCCCAGGAGAAGCCCTCGTGAGTCTCCTGCTTACCGGGCTCAGCCTCCTTGCCCAGGGGCAGCCAGGGTCAAGGTTAGAAAGTGCTGGGTGAACAAAGGGAGGTAAAAGCCAGAAGCAACAAGAGTTAAGGACATGACTTTTAATGCTCCATGAAGGAGGGACTTAGTCCTCATGGGCCCAGGGCCCCTCCTGTCCAGGAGTTGAGCCTACAAGGAGGGGAATGTGATTAGCAGCAGAAGGGAGGGCCACTGAATCTATAAGGTCTGGGCAAATCCTTCACTTCTGAGGTAGTTTTCCCATCTGTAAAATGAGGGGTTGAATTTTTTGAGGCTGTGAGGAGGGGAGGGAGCCTTTCTCAGTGTAAAACTCGTGTGAATCTAGAATAATGGGGAATTTGGCATGCTGGGGAGGAGCACAGCTGCGCTGGGGCAGGGCTGAACCGTTGCTAGGGGGAGGGCTCAGACAGGGATCAGGGCTAGGATAACTGCTGAACTGGAGATCTGGTAAGGGGCTGGGGGCAGGGGCTTACTGTGCTGGGACAGGTGATATCAGATGCTTGAAGCTCAGAGGCCATCTCATTTTATAGATGAGGAATTGAGGCCCTAAGCTAGGTGACAGAGCGAAGCCCCATGAATACCTGAGTTCCTCTCCAGCCTGTCACTTATTAACTCTGAGACCCTGGGGAATCACTTAATTGTCTCAGTTTCCTCATGTGTAAAATGGGGATAACAGTAGAATTCACCTCCCAGAGTTGAGTTTCAAATGAAACACTACATATAAAGTGTTTTGCAAATCTTAAAGCATTATCTAAATGTTATGTAAACGTTAGCTATATTATTATTAAATTACTTGCCTAAGATCACCCAGGTGGGCGAAGCTTTAGAGTGATGGGGGGAAGGTGACTGACTCTCCCCCTTCCCATCACCCCAAAAAGCTGCTTCCTGAATGTGAGCCGGGTGGAGGCGCAGCTGCTCCTGGAGAGGTACCCGGACTGCGGGAACATGCTGCTGCGGCCCGGGAGCGACCGCTCCGGAGGCTACTCCATCACTACCCGTCAGACGCTCAATGGGTAAGTTGGGGCAGGGGGCGGGGCCAAGTCTGGCCATCCCACCAGCCCTCAAGTCGCAAATGGGAACAGGAGGCGGAGCTGGAGGTCGGGGGCGCGGCCAGAAGCCGCCAGTCACCGCGCCCCACCCCCATAAGGGGGTCGGAGGAAGGGATGGGGCAAGCTCAATGAGGCGGGGGCGCATGCTGCTGCTCTTGCAGGGCCGAGGTGGTGAGGCACTACAAGGTGAAGCGCGAGGGCCTTGGTTACGTTATCGACGTGGAAGAGCCGGTGAGCAGGGAGCCAGTCTGGGGGTGGGTCTAGTGGGCGGAGCCTGGGGAAACGGAGAAACACTGGCCATACTGAGAAGGGCCGGCGGGCGGGGCAGAGCAGGGAAAGGGGCGGGGCCTGGAGCAGCTTCCACTGCTCGGGGTGGGGTCCGCGAAATTCTCTGGGTGTACCATCTTCTTCAGTGTCCAGGGTAATCTCACGGAAGGAGCGGGGCGGGGGATGCTGCCTCTAACTTCCTCTCTTCTCCCAGATCTCCTGCTCTTCTCTCCATGATGTAGTGAACTACTTTGTCTCCAACACCAAGGGGGCTTTGGTCCCCTTCTACCCAGATGAAGACTATGAGAAGGTCTTAGGTAGGTCTGGGGGGTCACAAGGAGCAGGCGGGTTAGGGCCCACAGCTCCTGGGTCCGGGCCCGCTTATGAATCCCAAAGCTCTCAGTTGTTAAAAGGATAGCTAGATGTCCACCCCCTGCCTCCAGGGCTGCCCCTATCTTCCGTGCAGTGAGTGGGCTCTGACATGACTTCCTGCTCTTCCTCGCGGCTCTCTCAGCCCCTCTCTCTATTCTAGGGTTTGTGGAGGCCAACCAGGAGAATGGAGAGAGCACATGGACAGTCCCCAAGCCTCCAGCCCCCCGGGTGCCAGGTGATAGCCCTCCCCCTCCTCCCCTGCAAAAGACAGGGATATGGACACACACGTGCAGGCCAGGTCATACCCAGCAACTGTCATAATCTTTTCCATTAAGTGCCTCCTGCTTCCCAAAACATTTTCCCAACCTTTGTCTCATTTGACTCTCTCAATGACCCCCGACCCACGGTGGGATTGTTATCTCTACTGTATAAGTGAGTGGAATAAAGCCCAGTGAGAAGGACCTTCTGCAAAGACACAAAGGCAGAGGTGGGACCAGAGTCCAGGTCTCCATGACTTCAAAGAATCAGAGAATCTAAGACTCAGAAATAGTCCGAAATGCACCTAAATGGAATCCCTTTCCAAAGAGATTCCTGTCCCGACCAGCACTCCCCCCCCTCCCCTTTCACCACCCTACGGTGGGAAGCCGGGAGCTATAGTGGAAACAATGGGGAAGTGGGAAAGTCAAGCAGGCTCTGTGCCACTTCCTTCCTGTGTGACCTTGGACCCTCTCTCGGGTGGTTTTCTGTACTGAAACAGTAAGAGGTTGCACAAGATGACCTCTGTGGGCTATTCTTGCTCTAACATTTTATGATTCCGTGTACAAAACACACATGATATTGACATACACAGGGACACAAGCATTCGTTCTTTCATTTAAATACATTTGTTCACACTTACTAAATGCAGATCCTTGGGGTGAGCTACAGTCACTATGACAATAAGTCCCAGGCTCTGTCCTCCAAGAGCCGAGCCTGGGAATGACAGTAGGGAAGGGGATTGGGGAATAAGACAGAGACACAATTATGGTGGAAAACACAATATGAGAAGACAGAGAAAAGAATTACAGACACCTTTTCGGCGCAGGACCCAGAATAGGGAGATGTCACCATTTCTGGGGGTGGGGGGAAGATCTGGAAAGAGGCAGTTAGGAACCCCATATACTTGAGTGCTGTTCTTGGAGTCAGGAGACCTGAGTTCCAATCCCACCTTACTAGTTGGGTGATCAGGGGAAAATTGTTTCCTCCTCGGTAAAATACAGCTAATGAGTGATACCTAGGTCTACCTGGCTCCTAGGGTTTTGACAAAAGTGCTCTGCAAACCTTGAAGCACTATAGAAATGGAAGCTGCTTTTATTATCTCTAAACACACATCCATATGATGTACTTACACATAAATGTGAACATACATATATGCATGCACACATACACACATGAGAGTGTGTTAACAGGCAGCTCACTATAGCAGAAAGAGCCTTGGATTAGGAATCAGAAGGCTTAGGTTTGAGGCCTTAACTCCAATTTAAGAGATGTGACTCTGGTAACAACATTCTCTCCCTGATCCTTTATTTCCTTATCTGTAGAATGGGGATAATAGTTTCTGCCCTGCCTCTTTTACAGTTATTGGGAAGAAAGAGCTTTGGAAGTAGTATAGCTAATGTTATAGTGAACTATGGTTACATATGCAAGGATACACAGGTACTTCCACATGGGAACACACATGAACGTGGGCACATACATAAAGACTCATGGGAGTGTGGGGTAGTAGAAAAGAGAAACTGATGGAATCAAAGATTCTAGGTATGCATTCCAACCCTGGCCCTGATACTAGTCATTTTTCCTAGGGGGGTCTCAGTTTTCTCTTGTGTAATATGAGAGAGTAGGTGATTTCTATGGGCCCTTCTGGCTTGACCTTTCTGAAATTTTCTACATGTGTCTAGAAAAACACTTGCTCCTTCTCTCAACTTAGGTACATCTCATCCCCTGGGTCCTTCTCTCTCTCTTTAGGTGATGACAAACAGAGACAGCAGCTGCCCGACCCAGGCAAGCCCCCCTGGGTGCCCACACCCCTGCCACCTGTACCAGATCAGGATGAGAACTACATTATACCCATCAGTGATCAGCCTACAACCCAATATGTGAATGAAGATGGTGAGGGGCCCCTGGGCCCGGGGGGTGGGGTAGGGAAGGGGGACAACTCTGGGGAGGCCTCAGCTAACACAGACCTCTCCCTCCGTACCATGGTCCTGGCCATCCATGTCACTCTCCCACAGAAGTGGCCCAGTTCTGCCCCTGAAGGCTCCTGGTGAGAAGGAACAGCAGCCCTGGGCAGGGCTAGGGGAGGGGGACAAGGAAAAGGGTTGGGAACCAGGGCATCTCCCCTCCCCCATCCCTGTCCTCCAGCTGCGCTGGATGGCCACAGGTACTGGGTTGGAGTCCTACTTGTGCCACTGAGCTGGGTGGCCTTGGATAAGCCACCTCTTCTCTCAGCCTCAGCTTTCCTCATCTATAAAATGAGGATAATTAGGCTGTCTCCCTCACATAGTTGTCATGATGAAAGCTCAACAAGTTTGTGAGGTTTATGTCATCATCATCATCGTTATCAGTTATTATAGAACTTGTCACATGGTACAGTTGAAACAGCCCTGAATGTAGAGTCAAGGAACATTGGTTTGAATCCCAGCTTGGCAGCTTACTGCCATTATGACCTTGGACAAGTCCCCTTCCCCTCTCTGGACCTCAGTTTCCTCATCTGACCGGTGAGGGGGTTAGACTGGGTGGTCTCTAAGGTCTGTTCTTGGTCTCTATAATACGATTGCCTGTGTTCTCCCTCCCTCCCAGCACTGCCCATACGCCTGCCCCCTGGCCCCAAACCCAAGAAACAAGGGAAGCCACTGCCCAAAGTGCCACCTGTGTCCAACAAGGCCAAGACAGGTAGGGCTGTGCTGCCTGAGCCTTTCCCCCTCCTCTCATTGGGTGATTCCCACAGAACCTCACCTGCCTCTTCTTCCTCCCTCTGTCCTTCCCAGAGCCCAAAGGCCTTGATGGCCCCAAGAAAGTCACGCCAGGCTCTTCCCAGCCCAAGGTTCCTTTTGGCGTGTCCATCTGCACAGGTGAGGGACACGGTGGGCAAGGGTATGGAGGTGGGAGAGGGGCCAAAGGGGGGGGGTTGGAGAAGAGAGACGCCAACTGTACCCTCCTTTCCTCTGGCTGTGCAGATATTACTGAGGAGCTGGAAAGGAAGCTGCGGCAGAGGAGAGCCAACCTAGAGAAATGACGCTGACCAGCTACATGGACAAGGCCTAAGGATCAGTGGGGCCAGGCCCTCCTTTGGGCCCTGACCCCAGGGATGCTGCCCATGACACCTCTCCTTCTTTCTACTCCCCTAGTTTTAACCCTTTAGCAGGGAGGGCACATCTTGAGCCCTGCCTCCACTAGGGACACCCCATCCCCCCACTCTGGATATTAAAGCTGAAGAAGCACAGTGGTCCTGGCAGTGAGGCTTGGTCATTATACAAGGCCTCCCGCAAAGGGGGCACCTGCATGCATACCTGGGTGTCTGGGGGGTGGGGAACAGGCCCCTAAAAGAGCCAGCAAAGAGTGCTGAGTCAAGAGGGGCCTGAGAATGGGTGGAAGGGTCCTTAGAAAACAGGCACCAGAGCTGCAAGGGCCCTTAAAACACCTGGTATAGACTGTTAGGGCAGTAGGTGCCTGAGAACCTGGACTATCACAGCTGGAAGAGCCCTTGGAACAAAGAACACAGAATGTCAGAGCTAGAAGGGAGCTATGGGATCATCTGGTCCAAAGCCTTTCTTTTTAAACCAGTTTTACCAATCAGGAAACTGAGGCACAGAGGAGGAGAATGACTTGCCCAGGATTATACAGTGGGTCAGGAGTAGGGTTTTTCATTTTCTGACTCGTGCAGTGGGAGAAGAACCTCGGGCTGAAAAATCAAGAGGCCTGGATTCTGGCCTCCAACATCTATGTCTGATTCTTTCAGCCAGGGCTCCAGTTTTCTCCCCACTCACTCAGCTTTAGGGAGACAGGAGTTTGGACCCTTAAGGCCCTCAGTCCTCAACCCGGGCCTGAAATGACCACCATGTGGGCCCAGCCAGGTGTGTTTCTCTTTAATGGGAGGATGAGGGTGGGAGGGAAGAGAAGTAGAATGAATCCAGCCCTAGCCCACCCTTCCATGCCCTAATTCTGGACTCCCAGTCTAGTGTTAAGGCCCAAAGCAGCATTTGTTGTGAGAAGAGGTAACTGAAGGGAGGGGACTGCCCCTTCCAGGGCTCAGAGGCTGCTGTGGGCTTCACATCACCTTCAGATGGGGGTTGGGGGGAGGGGTGGGGAAGAGCAGGGTAGCCAGCAAGTTCACTCTCTGAGGTCATGGCCCAACAACACCCTGAGGCTCAGGGCAGAGGTTGGCCCTCCTCAAGCCCGAGGGGGTCAGGATGGGCAGGAGCAGCAGCCTGGGGCAGCACAGGCTAGGTAAGGCTGGCATTGGAGCTGCTGGTGGCGCTGTTCCGCTTCTGCAGGCACTGCACCGAGCTGGGCACCTGAAGGCCGGAGGACACCTGGAAGCTTCCACACCACACCTGAAGGGGTCACAGGAAGAGAATGAGAGAGGAGCCCAGGGTGGAGCTGCAGAGGGAACTGGGGTGGTGTCAGAGAAGGAGAGGGGCTGAGTGGGTGGAGAAGCTCAGAGTGGGGGACAGGTGAAGCCGGGGAAGGGCTCAAAGTAATTAGAAAGGGATCTAACTGATCACAGGGGATGTGGGAATAAGAGATCACCGGGCAGGGAGGCAGCAAGAGAGCTAGAGGGATGATGGGGCAGAGGGAGCTCGGGAGGAGAAATGGAAAAAGTCCAAAGGGGATCAGGGGTCAAACGGACACACTGAGCACAGACTACACAGGTTGGGAACCCTATTCCCCTCACCATGAAGGCCGGCAACAGTGGCTGGCTGAATTTGGCCTTGAAAGTGTGAAGCAGCTGCTTGGTTCGGGCATTGTAGAAGGACAGGACCCCTGCAGGCAGACAGACAGATGGGTCAGACAGAAGGAGAGGTGGACAGCAGGACGGGGAGGCCAAAAGAGGGAGGGGGCTGAGGAAGAAGGACCACATTTGGGGGAGGGGGAGGGAGGTGGGACAACAGACCCAACAGAAGGAGGATGGGCCAGGAAGGCCCCCCACCTTTGTGGAAGTCGCAGTGGACCCCAATGCAGTCCGGCAGCGGCACATCCAGCGTCCGGGCCTTGTTATTATGCTTGGCTGTGAAGCTGACCTGCAGCCAGTTGTTCAGGTGCAGGCACCAGGAGGCCGGCGTCTTGCCCAGCTGGTCAAATCGGCCCAGGCTGCGGTAGGCAACACCTACTGCAAAGGCCTTGCTGTCTCGGTCATAGCGTACCTCCCAGTAATGCTCACCACCATCAATGAGGGTGTCTCCTAAGGAACAAGGGAGGGAGGACAGGATGAGCTCGTCCAGAGCCTCGGGTCTCCTACTCCTCCTTCAGCCCCATCTGCAAGCCTCTGGAGTCCTGCCCAACACCACCCTCCCACACACAGCTCTCCCACCCATAAGGTCCCAAGCCCCCATCTCACTCCCTCCAGGACCCACTTGAGAGCCTTAGAGGGGAGGCAGAGGGTCCTGCTCCTGGTCCCTCAGTTTCCCTGGTCACATGCTCCTCTCCCTCTGCCCCCCTCCCTCCAGCCCCACGGCGCCTCCATCTTACCCAGCACGGTGTAGGACTCAGCTGTGAATCGGTCCCGGCCTCCCCTCCCGGAGGGCATCCTCTTGGGAGACTGGGCACATCTGTGAGAATTAGGCAGGCTCGGGTGAAGGGGCTGCTCTTCCTCTCCCACCTCCAGGAAGCCTTCTTTGACCAATCCCTCCATTCATCTCTAGTCCAACTGGGCATCCACCCAGATAGAGGCACTTACGACCACCTTTGTTAATAATACTATCCTCTAAAAATATGTTTAATAGGAATGTATATGTATAGCCTATATCAGATGGTGCATCGTCTTGGGGAGGGTGGTGGGGAGGAAGGGGGAAAAAATTTTAAACTCAAAAGCATATGGAAGCGATTATTGATAAATAAAAATGAATTAATAAAAAAATTTTAAAAATAATACTATCCTCTATAAAGATCAAGCATGACTCAAATTAAGAAATATGGGAAGACATCCCCATCCCACCCCTTCATGGAAGTGGGGGGTCCACAGGTGTTGCCCAATGCATATGTTTTTGTTTTTTCAAATGCAATGATCAGTTGTGCTGATTTTTTTCCTCTTCTTTTTCTCCCCCTCCCCCCCTTTTTTTTTTTGGCCTGTAAAATACTATTAATTATATGGGATGGCTCTCTGAGAGAGGAGGGAGGGGATACTGGGGAAAACTATGATGATGTAAAACATGAAAGACATCGATAAAAACTTATTTTTAAAATGCTACTCTCTAACATTCAGTAACACTCACACTACTAACAATGCTGCTAAATACTGCTAACCCTCAACATTTCAGTGGACCTGTGACCTCAGTTAGGTGGGTACTCATCCCTCCAGTGCTACAGATTGATCACAATCCATCCATGCCTTCTTAGGCCCTTGTCCATTATCTTCCATAAATCCTCCACAAGGAAAGGGTCCACCTAACATGCTGGGACCCCATTCAGATTTCATGAGACAAAGTGAGTACCAATGTGGGTACCACAGGCCACTGTTGTGTTATGCCTCACTCTCACTCCGTGACTGGCCTACCTCCTTTTCTGACCATGAAGGTCTTTGATGACATCTTTTATGCCATGAGAGGTTGTTCATCAGTAATATACTCTGGTCTATTTATGCCCACTATATGCTCTCCATTGGCCTTTGTGGGAATGGCAACTTTAATTCTTTAGACTGTGCTAGTCCATAAACTTGAAGCCAAGGAGCATCAATGGAAGAACCATGGTGTTAAAAAATAGATGGGCCTTTGCTTCAGGGAGAAGCTTGGGGTCATTAGAAACCCTGCGCAATTTCTTGAAGCAATAAAGTCCACACTCCAATTCCGGGCCCAGTTATTTGTCCTTCTGCAATGTCTGTCCAAGACAAAAGGCACAACTCTATGTGTAACCCATTCAAAAGCATGTGCTAGACTGGACAACAGGTATTTATCCACTTGGTTTTTCCTGTATGGATAGTTAAACCAGACTCTTATAAGGGAGGGGAACAAGTATTAAGTGCCAACTGTGTGCCAGGCACTATGCTAAGCACTTTACATAGATATCATTTGATACACAATCACCCTCGAGTAACTGTCTGTCTCCTATAGGAGCTCTTCAGTGTTCCAGGATTTAATGCAATCAGCACAACATCATTCATAAACATAAAAGGACCTCACCACCTGTAGGGAATCCCTTTTCCATTTGGACTCTGCTGGACATCCTCCATGATAGTAGTAAACACCTTTGCTGAGCAGACAGATATCCAGGCTTTGTATGATAGTAATAATCAGAGGATTGATTATCTCTGTTATGATTTTTAGGGACTCTTGTATGGTTTTGACATATACAGAGGAGACACGTTGTTGGAGGGCAGCGTTGAAGGTGTAACTTCCTTGAAGCTAGGGACCATTCAAGCGTTTGTCTTTTCATCCCCAGCATAGTGTTTGGCACAATAGGAGGCACTTCAATTCTTGGTGAACTGAGTTGAAGGTGCCATTTTGTGCTACTAAATCACATTTTTTAAATAGGCAATACACAATAAACACAGCAGGATCTTGTAGTCTCTGTATCTTTCAGTTGATTTCATGACTATAAAGATGGAGTATGCTATGGAGTATCATTTATGAAAGCTTGCCTGTTCCCTTCATCAAGGGTGCCTTGATTGATGCATGTGTAGTTTATTTTTTTATTTTTATTTTTGTTTTTGGTCAGGCAATTGGGGTTAAGTGACTTGCCCAAGGTCACACAGCTAGTACGTGTCAAGTGTTTGGTCTGAGGCCAGATTTGAACTCAGGTCCTCCTGACTTCAGGGCCAGTGCTCTACCCACTGTGCCACCTAGCTGCCCCTGATATCCTATTTTTACAAATGTCCTTACAAAGACATTTTTCAACAATAGGCAGGTAGTAGAAGAATTATAATGTTCAGTTTTATAGATAAGGAAACCAAGGTCTAGAGAAGTCAAGTAAGGTAGTATAAACCATAAATGTCAGTCAGGATTCAAACTTAGGTCTCCTGAATTGAAGACCAGTGCTCCCTCTGCCTCTCAGGCTCCAACTCATTTTATAATTGAGGAAACTGAGCTAAACAGGGTTAAGTGACTTGCCCAGGATCACACAGCTGGTGTCTGAGGCCAGATTTGAATTCATGAAGATGAGTCTTCCTGACTCTAGGCCCAGCACTCTATCCACTGTGCCACCTAACCACCCCAAGCCTGGGGCACACTCCTCTATTAGAAATAGTGATTTGAACCTAAAAATTGTTCCCCTAGACCAGCAATGCTTAGCAAGACATATATAAATCTAGACGAGTACCCCCACTAAGAAGAGAACAGAGAAGCTGGCCTCATGGTCCCTCATCTTCCCCTCCAGATAAGAATCATAGTCTTCCTGGGAGTTAAGTGGGAAAGATTTCAGTGATATCCATCCATGCCTCCCCACTGAATTAGAAAACGCACATGAACATACATACGTGGGCAACACAATATTCTAGCATCCAGTTCCCAGTTTTTGGTATGAATAGCTTATTCAAATAGGTCAGGTTCAAACTGTTTTAATGACATGCCACATCCCATGTTTAGACTTTCTTCTAATTTAGTACATATTTTGACCTTTGAAGCTAGGTGGCACAGTGGATAGAGCACTAGGCCTGGAATTGGGAAGACCTGAGTTCAAATTTGACCTCAGATGTTTACTAGCCGTGTGACCCTGGGCAAGTCACTTAACTCTCTCTGCCTCAGTTTCTTTATCTGTAAAATGGGGAATATCTGTAAAATGTGTTAAAAAAATCAAACAGCACCTACCTCCAAGAGTTGTCATGAGGATCAAAATGAGATAATAATTGTAAAGCATTTAGCACAATGCCTGGCACATGGTAAACGCTATATAAATGTTAGCTACTATTAACAAGTCAATTGTCCATAGAGATCTGATTTGGAAATGACTCCCACATGGTAACCAATTGTTTTCTCTCAGTTAAGATTGAGTTGATTTCATTTTGGGTTAAAATTTCCAGTGCTCTCCATGATTAATGCCTCCCGAATGTCGTCCTGAAGAAATTATGTATAATATAGATGTATGAGGCTCCAATGTGGTCTAGAAGCCTTTGGCTTCTTTTGTGTATTTAATTTTGAGCCATATTTCCCAGAATGGTTTTCACCACCCTCCCTTACACCCACTTCTGCACTGGGGCCACTAAGTATTAAAACACACATTATTTTAATTTGGAGGATCTTGTCAAGTTTGGGATTTTTTTGGTAGAATTCCTCTTCCTCCCTATTCTTTTCAGATGTTGAAATTATTCTGATGGTGGTCTTTTTGCAGATGTTCATCATAAACACCGTAATACAAGATGATCAAGTGTCCTGTGAAATGATGCTTCTCGTGGCTTTTGGAATCACAATAACACTAACTCTTTTGCTTCTTCAGGTGGTGAGGTGGAACAAGGGATAGTGTGCTGGGCTTGGAGGCAAGAAGACCTGGGTTTTAATCCTGACTCAGACACTTATGAGCTTTGTGCTCCTGGGCAAGTCAGTTAACCTCTCTCCGCCTCAGTTTCCCCATCTGTAAATGGGAATAATAACTCACCTCACAGGGCTGTCAAGGATAAATTGTCAAGGATAAATTGAGATAGGACATGCGAAATGCTTTGTAAACCTTTAAGTGCTATTATTATTGCTTCAAGGATAACCTTGGGAGATATCCTTCAATTTGGCTTCAACTTTCTTTCTTCCTTATGGTTTGGCTTATAGTGAACACGCCAATTTGACATAACTAATTTTCACCAGTGGTAGTGTCAACCCATAGAACACTGGACAAGGATCTCAAACTCAGAGTGTTAATAATTAATGTTTGTAGATTCTTCACACCCTCTCCCACCTATTTCTGTCACTGTCTCTGTGGAAGCACAAGGGGGCGGTAGAGGACCAAGGGTCATTGGGAAATTTTTCTTAGGTAGATTGCCTTGGCCAATCTAGGCCTTGGTCAGCCGACAGGCGGTGAGCTTCTTGGTTGCTGAGTGAAACTGGCCCTCAGAAAGCAGACTCAGTCTGACACCAGAACCCTACCTAAAGTCTTTCCAGTTTCGTAGAAGCTGTTGGAGTTGACACTTTACTAGCACAGTCTTCAAAAACCCAGGGTCACCTTCATGCAACAATGAGGTTTGTTGCAAGTTTTCCAGGCATTCACCTTATATTCTGACCCTTCCAAACTGGAAGCTTCCCAAAGGCAGGGCTGGGTCAGTCCCTTAGACCTTGAGACTCTGGGGAGAGGGGAGGGATTACCTGGCTGGGGAGTTGACAGGAGAGGCAGTCCGACCTTTGCTGTCTTTCTCTCGAGCCTTGATGTCCTGAACTTTCCCTCCCATGGCATCCCATTCCACTGATAATTCTTCCACCCGCAAGTTCTGGTGGCATGTCGTGGCATCCAATCGGAACATGAAAGCTGTCAAAAGGCAAAGTCAGGTCATCCTGGGGCAGTCCCAACCCCCTACCTGGAGCTCCACAATAACCCAGAGCCAGAGACACTACCCCCTTTAGCCAAAGAGCAGCAGGCCAGCAATGGTGCTGAGAACTCACGATCTTCAAGTCACTGAAGAGGAGAGGAGGGTGAGCACAGGAAGGATAGATGTTCTGAGCCTGTTGGCTCATCTGTTAAATGGATCAGTAATATTTGCACTAAAACATTACAGAAATGTAAGTTATTATACTATATACCAAGGATCACTAGAGGGAATGGACTTAAGCTACAGTGGGAAGCAGTGAAGTTAGATCCCTTCCTGGGGTGCTAGTTGGCCACTGGTCACTGCCTCCTCATAGTGAAACCTATTTCTTTTTTAAAAATTATTTAATTTATTTTTAGTTTTCAACAATCACTTTCATAAGCTTCTGAGTTTTAAATTTTCTCCCCCCTCTCCCCAAGACGGAATGTAATCTGATATAGGCTCTACATATACATTCCTATTAAACATATTTTCACATTAGTCATGCTGTAAAGAAGAATTCGAACCAATAGGAGGAACCACAAGAAAGAAGAAACAAAACAGAAGAAAAAAAAAGAGCAAATAGTATGCTTTGATCTGCATTCAAACTCCATAGTTCTTTCTTTGGATGTGGATAGCATTTTCCATCATGAGACTTTAGGAGATGTCTTAGATCCTTGCATTGCTGAGAAGGGCTAAGTCTATCAAAGTTAGTCATCACACAACATGGCTGTTACTGTATACAATGTTCTCCTGGTTCTGCTCACTTCACTCACCATCAGTCCATACAAGTCTTTCCAGGTTTTTCTGAAGTCTGCCTGCTCATCATTTCTTCTAGCACAATAGTATTCCATTACATTCATATACCACAACCTGTTCATCCATTCCCCACCTGATGGGCATCCCCTCAATTTCCAATTCTTTGCCACCACAAAAAGAGATGCTATAAATATTTTTGGACATGTGGGTCCTTTTCCCATTTGTATGATCTCTTTGGGACACAGCCCTAGAAGTGCTATTGCTGGGTTAAAGGCTATGCACATTTTTATAGCCCTTTGGGCACAGAAACCTGTCTATTTTTAAAGGCAGGTGTGACCCTTCCTGGGGCAAATCTTCCCAGGAAGATGGAACTGATTGACTCCAAGGCTGCTCTTAGAACTGGGAGTCTAGAGCTCTTAAGGAAGGTTCGAAGGAGGGGAAAGAGAAGAACAGGAAGGGAGTCACTTACCTGTGGTTTCCAGTGTGACAGGTTCTGAGAACTCTCCAGCCACTGCCTTGTTGCATGCTCTTACTCGAAAGTTCATGTATTTCATGTCAAACTTCAGACCTAAAAGGAAGCCACAGATACCTCACAATAATGATTATACTTTTCTGGTGAGAAACAAAACTGCACTACCCTGAGGTATATACTCATTCTCTAAGTAACAATACTAATGCTGGGTAAAACTACAACTACTAATAGCACTACTGCTCTTCACACTGAGTAACACCCAAAGTGTTAAGAATACTGAGTTGTTTTCTTTCCTTCCTTTTTTCCTTCATTCTTTCCTTCCTTCCTTTGTCCTTCCTTCCTCCCTTCCTTTCTCTCCTCCTTTCTCTTCCTTCCTTTTCCTTCCTTCCTTTTTCTTTCTTCTTTCTCTTCCTTCTTTTTCTTTCTTCTTTCTCTTCCTTTCCCTCTCTTCCTTTTTCTTTCTTCCCTTTTCTTTCCTTCCTTTTCCTTTCTCTCTTCTTTTTCTTCCTTCCTTCCTTTCCTTCTTTCTTTTTCTTCTTTCCTTCTTTCTCTCCTTCTTCTCTCTTTCCCTTCCTCCCTCCCTTCCTTCCTTTCTTTCTTTTCTTCCTCCTGCTGCTGCTGCTCCTACTAACCCTAATGCTGAGTAACACTGAGGCCAGTAGACGTTATATAACGGAAAGGCCGCTGGAAGTGGATTCAGATGACCTGAGTTTATATCTAAGCTCTCTACCAATTATTAGACTTTGGGCAAATATTCAACCTCTCCACATCTCAGTTTTTTCATCTGCAAAATGAAGGTGCTGGACTAGATCAGTGGTTCCCAAAGTTTTTTTTTTTCCATTAACCTTATTCATCAACAATAACAAAGTGTTGTGAACTCCCAGGGTAATTGAATATACCACTTACATGATTCTTTTATTCATTAAGTGATTATAATAACTACAAAGATAACTTTTGTCCAAAAAGTTTCAAATTAAAACTTACCTTATATAATTATAAAATATAAAATTTCATTCTACTTATAATTATGAAAATTCTAAAAGATATAAAAGTATAAAACTCTACAAAATAATTATGTATATTTTAGATGTGACATTCTTTCAGAATTAAAAGAATTACTTCTCCAGCAAGACCTCATAAGATTACCATCATCTGCATGCAGTAACATGATTGCACAGTTATTTTCTGCTTAAATTGTCATGAAATATTTTGAGTGGGAAGCCCTTGGACCATCACGGTGAACAATCGCTAAACTGGAACAACAGGACTAGACAATCTCTGAGTTACCTTCCAACTCTAAAATGTTATGATCTTACAAACAATGAGGACACTTAATAATAAATAACCCTAAAATTCCAAGTACTGATACTGGATAACCCTAAAATAACAATCCTAACCCTGGTAGAATGGCATCAATTACTTCCCTTAGCATGAAGTCATACTAAAACAACTAACACTATGAAGTGACATTATACTACTGAAAACTAGGCCTGGACCAACGCGAAAGGAACCTCCCAGTGAGGAAGCTCCCTTACTGATGCAGGTCAGCACTTTCTCTGCAGTTTACAAACTTAGAGGGTTGTCCAGACCCCTGGGAAACGCAATGACTTGGCCAGCCTCAGAGAGTCAGCGTTGTCAGAGGTAGGACGTCCCCAGCCCTTCCTGGCTGTAAGGCCAGCCTGGCACCAATTCTTACCATGGCCAACTGCTCTACTTGTTCAAGTGATCTCATTCCATCGTGTCTCCTCCAAAAGACTGACCCTTGTATTGTTATCCCCATTCTATCACTTATTTTCACTCTCTCCTTCTCTACTAGCTCATTCCCTACGACATACAAACATGTCTCCCTTATTCTAAAAAAAACCCAAAAAACAAAAACCCTCAACTTGATCCTGCTCACTATTGTTCTATATCTCTTTGGTCCTTTGTAGCTAAACTCCTTGAAAAGGCTGTCTACAATAGGTGACTCTACCTTCTCTCCTCTCATTCTTTCCTTAACCTCTTACAATGGGGCTTCAGACCTTATCATTCCACCAAAACTCCTCTCTCCAAATTACTAAGGATCTCAAATCCAACAGCCTTTTCTCAATCCTCATTCTCCTTGGCCTTTCTGCAGCCTTTGACACTGTTGATCACTCTCTCCTTAATACTCATTTCTCTCTAGGTTTTCGGGGCACCACCTTCTCCTGGCTTTCCTCCTATTCATCTGACCTCTCCTCTGTCTTCTCTGCTGGATCCTCTTCCAGATCATCACCTCTAGCCAGAGGTGTCCCTCAGGGTTCTGGTCCTGGGCCTTCTTCTCTTCTCCCTATATACTACTTCATTTGATCTCATCAGCTTCCATGATTCCCATCTTACCCCAGTCTCTCTGCTGATTTCCAATGCCTCTCAGACATCTTAAGCTAAGTCCAAAACCGAACTGATTATCTGTCCCCCTACACCCTCCCCTCCTGCCTTCCTTGTTACTGTAGAAGGCATCACCTTCCTCCCAGTCCCTCAGCATCACAACCTAGGAGTCATCCTGGATTCCCCACGGTCTCTCACGCCACCACACTGAAGGCCTGTTGATTTCACCTTTGCCACATCTCCCCTCTATGCTCCCTTCTCTCTGCTGCCACTACCATCCCTTTGGTGCAGGCCCTCATCACCTCGCACCTGGATGATTGCAGTAGCCCAAGGTGAGTCTCCCTGCTGACTCAAGTCTCTCCTCAAATCCAACCTCCATTCAGACACTAAAGTGATCAAGTCAAGACCCCCTCCTCACTAAACTCTAGTGGCTTCCCACTGCCTGCAGGATCAAATACAAAATGCTCTATTTGACATTCAGATCCCTTCCGACCTAGCCCCTTCTACTTTCCCAGTCTTCTACACCTTCCTGCCTACCTCATACTCTTCGATCCAGCGACACTGCCCTCCTGGCTGTTCCATGAACGAGATACTCCATCTCTCTTCTCTGGGCATTCTCTCTGACTGTTCCCCACTCCTGGACCACCTTCCTTCCTCCACTCCACTGACCTCCCTTGCTTCCTTAAAGTTCCAATTAAAATCCCACCTTCTACAGGAAGCCTTCCCCAACCCCTCTTAAGTCCAATGTTTTCCCCCTGTTAATTATTTCCTATTTATCCTGTAGAAAGTGCCAGGCCTGCAATCAGGAAGGCCTGAGTTCAAATCCAGCCTCAGACACTTACTAGCTGTGTGACCCTGGGCAAGTCACTTAACCCTGCTTGCCTCAGTTTCCTCCTCTGTAAAATGAGCTGGAGAAGGAAATGGCAAACCACTCCAGTATCTTTGCCAAGAAAACCCCAAATGGGGTCACAAATAGTCAGAATAAACTGAAATGGCTGAACAAATTTACCCTGTACATAGCTTGCTTTGTATATACTTATTTACATGTTGTCTCCCCGATTAGATTGTAAGCTCCTTGAGGGTAGGGACTGGTTTTTTTCTATTTTTTTTGTATCTCTAGTGCTTAGCACAGTGACTAGCACATAGTAGGTGCTTAATAAATGTACACTGATTGATTACGTTATATAGCCTTAACACTGTCAAGTACTATTACCACATGGAGGTGGCACAGTAGATAGAGCACTGAAAGAGCCTCACTTACCAGATGTGTAACCTTGGGCAAATTACCTTCTGTTTGCCTCAGTTTCCTCATATGTCAAATGGGGATAATAACAGCACCTACCTCCCAGGGTAGTTGTGAGATTAAAATGAGGTATTTGTCAAATGTCTGCAAACTTTAAAGCGCCACATAAATGTTATTATTATGATAACTTCTATTAATTTTGTACTACTCAGTATTATTATTACTACTACTGCTACTGTAAATATTAAGTATTATCCCCTGCTTAAAATAATATTACTACTAATTAGTATTTCCAGAAAGCAATAATACTTAGTATGAAGAGTTCTAGAGTTCAAAGAATGTCAGAGCCAGAAGAGCCTTTAGTGATCAGTTAGTCCAATGCTCTTATTTTGCAGATGGGAAAACTGAGGCCCAGAGAGAGGAAAAGATTTGTAGCAAGAATGGTAGATTCCCCTGACCTCCATCCCAGTGGCATAGAGAATTGGATTCTGTTCTGACCTATGGGAGATGGAAATCATCCACTCACCAGACAGCGTGTACTCAGTCTGCCTGATGCCCTCAATCACCATCCAGGGCTGGTCTTCCTTGAGCCGAGGCGGGCCCTCAAAGTTGGTGCGCCGATATTCTAGCACGTAGTGGTCAATCTTGCTGTCTTCATCTGGCATCCGCCACACCAGCGTCACACAGTTATCTGCCACCAGGGACTCTGCGAGGTCAATCTCTGGGGCACTAGGCACTGGAGAGGAGAGGGGGTGTCAGGGGTCAACCTCCCCATAGAGCTTGTAGCCTGGCACCTGCCAGCTGAGAAGTTTGGCCTTTTCCGGTTTTTACCATTTACTCCAGTCCCCCCCCGCCTTCCATAGACCCCAGGCTATATGCTAGTCCCCAAGACCACACCTCACCTGGTAGGAACTTTAGGGCCTGCAAGAGACGCCGCTCCTGGGCAAAGTCCACCATGAGGTGGCTCATGTTGTCGCTGACCTTCGCTTTCAAGGAGAGCCGGAATGCTGGGGCCATGGTCACACTGCAGGGGGGAGGGTCTGGGATCATCTGGAGGGTCCGGCATCCCAGGACCCACCAGGAATTCGATCCCCTCCAGGGAATCCTGTCCTCCCTTGGAGTTGGAAACCTTGAATTTTAGTCAGAGGACCTAACTAGAGTCTGAGCCTGGTTGCTGACTTTTGGTGTGATTTTGAGCAACGCAATTAACCTCACAGTGATTCCATTTTCTTCACTGTAAAACAAAGGCCTTTCAATAAGTGATGCTCAGGTCCCTTCCAAATTCTAAATCCTTTGGGTCCCACTAAACTCCCACCTCTCCTCTAGACTGAGACTGGCCTGGAGGTTGGGGGTGAGGGGTCTTTCTTGAGATACCCAATTGCAGGGGGGTAGGTTGAACATCTTCCAGTGGGCAGATCTACTAAGAGCAGGGCAAGCTTACCTGTCCTTTATCTGTTTGGCAGCCTGGAAAAAGGAAGGAGAAGGTGAGAGTCACACTTTCTGAGCAGGATGAGTCTTCAGAGATCACCTCATCCATCCATCCAACCCTTCATTTTATAGAGGGGAAACTGAGGCCCAGAGAAGAGATGGAATTTACCCAATGTGACACAGTAAGTTAGACTAGAAGTTTCCTTAGCAGGAAAGATGCTGAAGCGCAGGCTTCCTGTTTCCCTGCCCAGGGCTCTTTCCACTAGAAAGGTGGGGAGGGAGAAAAGGAGAGAAGAAGAGGGAAGAGACGGGGGAAATTCATAGGCTTTAAAGCTGAAAGCAAAGTTAGAGATCATCGAGTCCAACCCATTTGTTTTACAAATAACGAAACTGAGGCCCAGAGAAATCATGTGACTTGCCCAAAGCCACCTGGTTAGTAAGTAGCAGAGACAGGATTCAAACCCAAGACTTCAAATTCAGCCCTCTTTGCCCTACTCTAAAAATACATGGTATTTTATACCCTTTACCCAATAATACACAAATAAGACCCTTTAACTTTTATGTGAATTATTTGTGTCTATGTCTTATCCCTCCAATCCAGAATGGTAAGGTCATGAAGTCATAAGCTGCTCCTTTAAGGCCCAGCTCAGGCCTACTCATCTTCATCTTCTTCTTCTTCTTCTTCATGGGCCTTCCCTGATGTCCCCTCCCCCTCTCTGAGGTCCCCAGGCCTCAGCTTGACCTCTCTTGGGACTATGCTGCATGGCCATGAGTGACGTTACACTACAGTCTGCAAAGAGGTAAAAGAAATAACGCACAAAGGCAGGGGACAGGTGTGTTGTGAGGGAGAGCAGGTGGCAACAATTAAGGAAATTAGAAGAAAAATCAGAATGAATGAGGAAATAATGTATGAGCAGGGAAATAGAGACGGGCGCCACAGTGATAGCTAGAGATGACAGGCTCCATGTGCAATCTCAGGAGAATCAGGGAAGGTTCCCAGCACCATTGGGGGGACCCCTTCCACTAAGCCTATGGGAGACCCTGGACAATAATGGCACAGGATAGAGAGGCATGCATGGGTTGTGATCTGCACTGGCAGAGGCCAGTCAGATCCCAGATCCACGTGAGCAGGATCTAAATCATGTTATCATTTGTATCATAGTTATGTGGTGGGGGGGAGGGCGTTGAGGCCTTGTTTTTCATCTATGTATCCATAGCACTGGGTACAGGGCCCTGCATATAGCAGACACTTTAAAAATGTTTGACTCAATCCAACAAGCATTTATTAAGTGCCTACTGTATACAGCACATGTTGTTAGGTGCTAAGAGATACAAAAATGTATAAAACTCCCTCATGGAGATCACAGGGGAGCATAGAAGGAAGAAAGAATTTTCTTGGTGTTATTTTTTGTGTTCACTTATTTATGTTCCTGTTGTATTCTCCAGTAGAGTTTACGCCCTTGGAGGACAGAAGATGATTTTGCCTTTGTCTCCCTGGCATCTGGTGAATAGTAAGAGCTGATTAAGTGCTTGTTGGAGGAATCGAAGAAAATAACAATCCCAATGTCTAAATGTTTTATAAAGAGCTTTCCTCAGAATAGTGCCATGGGGACAATAGATACTGTTACTCCCATTTTACAGATGAGGAAATGGAGGGGATGTGATGTACTCAGTTACCCAGGTAGGAAGTTCCAGCACCAGGCCTCAGATCCGGGCCTTCCAACTCCAGGGCCCCTTTCCCTAACTCTAGCTGACAAAGGGAACAGGGTCTGGTAGGAGGTTCTGCACAGCTTCAATCTCTGGACTGAAGTCACAGATGTGACCTCATCCATCTCAGAAAGGGCCGAATAAAAAGGGCCGAAAGGGATCTCAGAGGCCTTCTAGTTCAACACCATCATTTTACAGTCGTCTCCCAATTCTCCCAGGGTCTTCAAACCTGCCTCCTGGAGCCACCAACGCAGGGATTACTTCTATTCAATATATTTGTATGTTTTATGAATGCTGGGAGGCCCGGGTATGAATCCTAGCTCAGATAGTCTGGTTGTGTGAACTTGCCTTAGTCACGTCCCCCCTTTAAGCCTCAGTTTCTTTACGTCTAAATTGGGAACGGTAACTTATACCCCCTATATCTCAAGTTGAGAGGAAAGCTTTTAAAATGCCAAGGAAAGGCAATGATTAAATACTTGCCCATGTATGCAAGGCAGCTAGGTGGTACAGTGGATAGAGAGCTGGGCCTGGAGTCAGGAAGACTCATCTTCATGAATTCAAATCTAGCCTTGGATCCTCACTAACTATGTGACCCTGGGCAAGTCACTTAACTCAGTTTGCCCCAGCTTCCTCATCTGCAAAATGAACCGGAGAAGGAAACAGCAAACCACTCCAGTACCTCTGCCAAGAAAACCCCAAATGGGGTCATAGAGAGTCAGACCAGACTGAAATAACTCCACAATAACCATGGATATAAAGCCCTTTGCAAACCTGAAAGCACTTTCTTAAAGTCAGTTGCTGCTGTCATTGTTTTCATCATTGTTACTGCCTGGTCCCTAGCCTTCTTGTCGGGCCGCCCCACCCACCAACACTCTCCCCATCTAACTGCAATCGCCGGGTCCCAAACCTGTGGGAAATCCTGGTTGTCTGCTCCCTGCAGCGTCTGGTTGGCCGTTTCCAGAAGTTCCTCGGAGCTTTCCAGAGCTTTGGTGCAGGCTGCCAGCTGGTTCTGAGGGGAAGAGATGGGGCAGGAGAGGCGATGTCAGTCAGGAAAACCCTGCTGCGTTCCCATGCTCAGGGCCAGGCTCTGTGCTGGGTGATGAGGAGCCACAGAGATGGAGAGGGGGCCAAGCAAAGGGACTTCACAGCTTTGGGGTCCACCGAGCAGGACAGCCAGGAAGACAGGGGAGCAGAGGAAGCTTTTCTTTAAGGTTTTGCTCAAGGGCCCAAAGGTAGTCCTTTCTGAGGCCCCCAGCTGTGAATGCCTTGCTCCCCAAATTCTCTCATACTCATTTTTTTTTGCATTTCTTTACACATATATTATCCCCACCCTGACAAGACTGTATATTCCGCAAAGGCAAGGATGATTCCACTTTCATCTTCGTATGCCCAGCTTTGTACGCACAGTACCAGGCACATAGTAGGTATTTAACAAATGTTCATTGATTGAAGGCCTTCAGAAATAAAGTGAACCGATTTCTACATTTTACAGATAAGGAAACTGAGGCCTGCAGAGGTTAATTTGCCCAGGTCACACAGTAAGTGGCAGAGCCAAGATTCACAGAATCACAAAATCTCAGTGGTGTGCGGTACTTCAGAGGTCACTGTGTTCAGTCCATAGCTGAAAAGAAATCCTGTCCTCAGAGGTCTCTGAAAAGTAGTCATCCACAATCCATGAGAAGACCACCATGAAGGGGGCCTTTTCCCAAGCTAGCACCTTGTACCTGGGACACATTATTAGGATATTTCCTTATATAAAGCTTAATTCTGCCTCTCTGCAACCCGCCCCACGGATCTTTGTTCTAGACTGCCACCGTTCTCCCCCTTCCCCCATCACTCCAGGGCCAAGCAGAATAAATTTAGTCTCTCTTCTAAGTGACAGCACTCCCATACCTGAAGAAAGCTATCCTTTATCTTGCCTTCTTTAGGGTAAACATCCCAAGTTCCTTCATCTGATCCTTCCATTGCTTAGGGGGGATTTTAATTCCCTTCACTATCAGAGTCAGCTTCCTCTAAATTCACTCTAGCTTATTAGTTCCCCCAGACTAAACATAATTCTCCAAACAGGGTCTGAGCAGAGCATAGGATAGTGAGACTATCACCTCCCTTACTCTGGATGCTATGTCTGGTTAATACAACTCAGGATGACATCAGGTTTCTCTGATTGCCATTTATATTGAACTTGGGGTCCACTAGAACCCTTAAATCTTTTTCAGATAAACTTTTCAAAAGACACCTCCCCTATATTGTGCTTGTACAGTTGATTTTCTTACTAAATGAAAGACTTTACATTCATCATTTCAGATTTGGCACATCATTCTGCCCTTTGAGGTCTTGACTCTGTCATCAACTTGTTAGCTATCTGTCCCACCTTTACAGGTCATCTGCAAATTTGGTAAGCACATCATCTGTGCCTATTTATTTGAACTCAAGTCCTCAGACTATGCCCAATGCTATTTATATTACACTGTGCTGCTTGAGCTGGACCTTAAAGGATGGGTAGAATTTGGAGATGGAGCCAGGAAGGACACTAGACACAATTAACACATCATAAAGCCACAGAGGAGTAATGGGTGGCTGCTGCAGAGAAAGATTTCAGCTCAATATAAGGAAAAAATTCTAACAATTAGAGCATCCCAAGAGAAGAGTGGACTCTTTCAGGAGGGGGCAGTTCTAGAAGTCTGTTATTATGGGTCTGAATGCTGTAGAGGTGACTCCTGGTACAGGTCAGATAGGATAACGTCTCAGGTCCCTTCCAGCTAACAGAGCCTTGCGATTGAACTGGGCCTTAAAAGGAGAGAGAAGAACTGAAGGTGGTAAAGTCAAGTTTTCTTTATAGGATCATAAATTTAAAGCTGGAGGAGACTTTACAGGTCATCTATTTCACTCACACCCATTTTACAGATGAGGAAACTGAGGACCAGAGGGAAGAAGTAATTTTTTCAAGGTCACCCAAGAAATAAGTGGCAAAGCTGAGATTCAAACCCAGGCCCGTCCAACTCCAAACCCAGGATTCTTTCCATTATAGGTATACTGACTGTTCAGGGGAAAGAGAAAAAAAGGAAAGAGAAAAGCCAGACCAGGCTAGAAGGAAAAGGGAGCAAGGGAAAGAGAAGGCTAAAAAAGGGAGATGGGGGAAGGGTATAAAGGGCTGCAAATGCCAGGCTGCTGACATTGGACTCCCATTGTCAGCAGGAAGAGCTTCCTAAGCAGGGGGAAAATGTCAGCAGAGCTGCTCATTAGGCAAGATAATCTAGTAGCTTGACATGGGGCACTGAGGGAGGTGGGAAAGCTCCATGGAAGAGGTACTGCTTCAGTTCAGGTTTAAAGGAAGGGTAGAATTCAGATGGGGAAAGACTAGAGAAGAAATAGATTAGAACAAGGCTGAGACCCAAAGTCAAGAGAGGTCTGTACTGCAGTCCCACCTCTGCATTTTGATGGCTCTGTGAACGTGGGCAAGTCCCTTCATTTCTCCAAGCCTCAGTTTCCTCTTCTGTGAAATAAGATAATAATACCTGTAATCACTTATCTCACATGGTTGTTGTGAGGACCAAATGAGAATGTAGGTAAGGTTAGCTCCAGATTAGTGTAAACAATGAATCCTCTGAAGTAGACGCATTATTCAAAATCTGCATTGCATATTTCCATTGGGCTTGAGATGGCAACTCAAGAATACGGGTTAAATTGATTTCAGGACCACAGGCTGGAATCAATGACTAATTTTACATAATTATAATTTCAAATAGTATGAATTAGAATAAAGAGGATTCCTCATTTGCATTAATCTGGACCTAGCTATAAAACTAACATTCAAATGGTATATAAATAACAGTTATTATCACTAGAATGCTGGTAGAAATGATCCAAACTAGTGGCAGATGAAGTTTAGCCTCAGATGGAATCCTAGGAGCAGAAGTTTGGAGTTGGAAAAGACCTTGTAGGGCAGTTAGGCCAACTGCCTCATTTTAGAGATGAAGAAACAGGCTCAGAAAGGAAAAGTGACTTGTTTAAGGTCACACACTGCCCCAGAGAAGGAAAAAAGGCTTCTAAGGGGGAGAGACATTTTCAAAGGTCTATTGGAAGGAAAGGACTAGGGCTGGATTAGGGAGCCCAGTAAAGCCTCCCAGAGTCTCTTCAAACCTTGTACCCTCTTTTCTTAGGTCTGGGAAGCTTTCAGAAAGAGCAGACTCACCTGGAGCTCATAGATTCGGCTAGCTCGGTCTTGTTTGATCTTCATCAACATGCCCTCCTTCAGCTCATCCAGCAGGGAGAACAGTGACTGGAACTCGACCTCCAAGTCCTCTTGGACCTTGTTGGAGTTGGCCTAACAGAGGAATGTTTAGAATCTTAGATCAGTAAATATCAGAGCTGAAGGGCCCTTAGAACATAGCCCATAGGATGGATGAATGTGGCCTTCTAGGTCCTTGGGTTCGGCCTTTTGACTGAGTTCAAGTTTTATGGAACAAATCCTTTTATTAAGGGGATTTGGTCTGTGAAGTTTGGATTCAGTCAAAGAGCTGAACTTGAGGACCTAGAGGGCCACATGTAGCTTTGAGGCTGAAGGCTCCCCATGCCGACATAGACCATGAGCTGAGAGGGCCTTAGAACATAGACCAGAGAATGAATGTTAGAGCTGGGAGGATGCTTAGAGCACAGAATGTCAAAGCTGGGAGGAACCTTAGAACATAGAAAGTGGGATCTGGGAAAGACTCTAGAACATAGAATTTCAACTGTTCCCAGGTGGCTGACCCATCCCCCACCTGCCTTTTCCCCAATCTCCTCCTACCTCCACATTCAGCAGCATCTGTTTCAGAGCATAGATGAAGTTCTGTATCTCTTCATTCTTCACTGCCAGAGTTGTGACGATCTTCTTCAGCGCCTCCTGTGCCAACACCCAAGACACAATGTCCCATCCTCACCTGCAGTCTCTCTAATCTTTCCCAGACCAGATGGCCCCCAATGTCCTCTAGGACCTCCATGCTCCAAGACCCAGGGGTTCAAGGAAGGCACAAGAATTTGTGGGAACTGGCCTTAGCTGGGAAGGAGCCTGGATGGGGATGATAGCAGGGGTGAAGAGAGGAGCCAGAGGAAGGAACAGCTTAGAAAGGCAATAGACTGGGTGTGTGTGAAAGGGGGGACGACTAGGGTGAAGAGAGGAATAGCTGGGACTAAGTGAGGGTAAGGGAGAAAGGGAGTAGCCCGGGGGCTGACAACCTGTATAAGGGACTAATCCCCAGGCTGAGGGAGCCCCCTCCCCTCCCAGTCCAGCTTCTAGGCTGCAGCAGCAATGCGGGAACTCAGCATGGTGGGCGGGACTGGGGCTGCCCCAACTCTGCTCCAGGCCAGGTGGCAGGGGCACCTTTAGGTCCATTCCTAGAAGGGGCTCCTCCCCACCAGCCCTCATGGACCCTTGCCGGCTATTGTCGGCCCCGCAACCTCACATCCCATGCCGGACTCCAGGCCCGCCTGAGCCAGGGAGGGGCCAGAGAGTAAACTGCTGCAGCACCTGGTGCAGGGCGCGCCCCGCCCCGTCTTCCATCTCCACCCCCACCCTCACCCTCACCCCGGCCCTGGCTCCTACCTTCTGATCCCCCATGGCGCCCGGTCCAGGATGCTTGCAGGAGCCCCGGTGCGCCCCGCGCAGCCGCAGCCGCAGCCGCCGCCGCGCGCCCCTAGGCACAAAGGTGCCCAGGACCCATCGCCCAGCCTGGGACTTCGGTCCTCTCCCAGCCCCAGCCTCGCCGCTCCATCACCGCCTCTACGGCGCAGGCGTATAGGCCGAGGCATCTTGGGAAATGTAGTCCAGGGCTGGGGAGGGGACCCAGGCTCATGGAAGGGTAAGGGAATTTAGAACCAGAATGTAAAATGTCAGAGCAAGGAGGGGTCCTGGAACCGAATGTCAGAGCTGGGAAGGAACTTAGAATATAGGACACAATCTGACACCAACCTACCTTTCTGGATTTATTTCGTCTTATTCCTCTGCTTTCACTCTACATTCCATCATTCTGGCCTGACTTGATCATTCCTAAACTAGATGTCCCTTCCTTCTTTCTCTGAAAAGGCTCTCACCTATGCCTGGGATGCCCTTCCTACTCAGTTTCACACCTTAGGATCCTTAGTTTCCTTCAAAGTTCACTTCAGATGCCATTTCCTCTGTTAAACCTTACCTGACTTCTCCCACTACCTCCATCATACTCTTCCCAGTTACTACTGCCCTCTCCCTTCTCAGATTACCTCCTATGTCATTATCCTACCCGCTGCATTCTCCCAGTAGAATGTAGGTAAGGTTCTTGAGATCAGGTTCTATTTTGATTCTGTCTTTATATTCCCAGCAATATGACCTTGATGGTTTTTTGTTCGTTTTTGTTTTTTAAGTTGAATTCAACAGGACATGGAATTTCAGACCTGGAAGGACCTAGACATAGGTGATCAAAGCTGGAAAGGTCCTTAGAACATAGAACCCAGACCATCAGAGCTAGAAGGGTTCTTAGAATGTTGGTGCTGGGAAGGATTTTAAGACATAGAATGTCAGAACTCAGTGGGTTCTTAGAGATCAAAGGATAGTAGATCATAGATTTAGAGCTGGAAGGGAGTTTAGAGATCATCTAGTGGGGGAGGTGAGACGGTTTTCAGAATGTAGTGGGGATGACTTCCTTTCAGGGCATCTGAGGCATCAAAGCTATTTTCCTAATAATACTAAGATGTTTTTATTTCTAAATGGATATGGATAGATGTAGCCCACATCAACAAAAGCTATTTGAGGGAGGGCATCCTCAAAAATTTTTAAGAGATTTAAAAAATTTTGAGAACTGCTGATCTAGTTCAGCTTCCTTGTTTTGCAGATGGGAGAAACAAGGAGGAAGGCAAGAGACACCCTACCAGCTATTAGGCGTCCAGAGTCCTAGTGAAGGTCATTTTTAGTGGTCTTTTGCTGCTCCTCATACATGACATGACACTCCCCATTTCTTTGCCTTTGCATAGGCATCCTCTCCTTAACACTGCCTGCTAGAATTCCTAGCTTCCTTCAAAACTCAGCTCAAGTTCCACCTTTTTTCCTAGGCCTCCCCGGCAACACTCACTATTGCCATATTTAAGTTGGGTTTTTTTGGTTTGTTTTGATTTGTTTTACAGTCATGTCCAACTCTTCATGACCCCAGTTGGAGTTTTCTTGCCAACGATACTGGAGTGGTTTGCCATTTTCTTCTCCAGCTCATTTTACAGATGAAGAAACTGAGGCAAACAGGATTAAGTGACTTGCCCAGGATCACACAACTGAGGCTGTATTTGAGCTCTGATCTTCATAACTCCAGTCCCTGAGTTCTATCCACTGTGCCACCTAGCTGCTCTGTCTTACATTTAATTTGTATTTTTCAGTAGGTCAGTCATGTCTAACTCTTCATGACCCTGTGGACCATACTGTTCATGACGTTTTCCTGGCAAAGATACTGGAGGGGTGCAGTGGATTTAGGCAGACAAAGGTTAAATGACTTGCTAAGTTAAGTCACACAGTTAGTAAGTGTCTGATGCCAGAAACAGGTCTTCCTGATTCTAGGCCCAGGGAACTATCCACTGAGCCACCTAGCTGCCTCCTATTTAATTTGTATATATTTTGTATATATTTATGTTTGTATTCATGTTGTTTCCTCTGATACAACGTACAGGCAGAGACTGTTTCTTTTTTGTCTTTGCATTCATAACACAGAGTTTGGTACATAATAAGTTCTTGATCAATACTTGTTGGTTGATTTGACTAATTGATTGATTAAAGTATTGAAGGGCAGTTCTCCTGACCTTCCCAAATCTACAGCCATTGTCTCTTACACGTTGGCTCAAAGCAAGTCACTCACTCCTACCTCAGTTTCCCCATTTATACAATGAGAGAGTTGGATTGGTTGATATTGAAGGAAGTTTTTACTTCTGACCAATGTTTAAAGATTCATCTAATTTCAAAAATGGATCTTAAATGATTTTTATTTTGGTTTTACATTGTATAGATTTCCCCCTGCATCTTTCCTACCACCACCACCACCAGAGTTATCCCTTATAACAAAGATTTTTAAAGAGTTTGAAGAGAAAGAAAAGTAGTAAAACAACTGAATACATAGAAAAAAAAATCTGATGTTATATGCAATGTTCCATACCCAACATCGATCCCTCTCTCAATCTCTTCAAATGAGGAGGGAGGCATCTTCTTTGGGGTCAAGATAGTTCTTCTTTATCCTTTCCAAAACATTAATCTTTCCATTGTTTATGGTGATTGTTTAATCCATTGACATTTTTATGATTGCTGTTTTCCTTACTCTGCTTACTTCACTTTGCTTCACATAAGTCTTTCCGTGCTTCTTTGTATACATCATCAATAATCAATCAATAAACATTTGCTAACCACCGAGGACAAGCTTGGGGTTGTATTAAGTGATAAAAGATAGACAGTTCCTGCCCTCAAGGAGTTTACAATCTAGTGGGGAAAGATAACACAGAAAAAGGAAACTGAAAAGGGTGGGGGGAAGTAGAAAACTCAGAAAAGTCCTAAAGTAGTCCATCTAGGTAAGAAATGAGATGCTCTGAGCTGAGTTCCCTCCTTAAATGGAGGTTTGGGGGTTCATGGCTCCACTCTCTTTAATCAGAGGGAAGGAGAGTATTGATGAGAGAGTACCAAGGCTGATGGGATCATGTTTGCTGTTGTCTTTTGTCAGCTTTACAAATTTGCTGAGTGTGAGGCTCAGAGTTGTTTTGATTTTCATCAATCTTATTATTAATGATTTGGAACGTTCTATCATGTGGTATTAATAGCTCACAATTCTTCCTTTAAAAACTATTCATATCATACAAATGGGAAAAGGATCCACACGTACAAAAACATTTATAGCAGCTCTTTTTGTGGTGGCAAAGAATTGGAAATTGAGGGGATGCCTATCAATTGGGGAATGGCTGAACAAGTTGTGGTATATGAATGTAATGGTATACTATTGTGCTATAAGAAATGATGAACAGCTCTAAATCACTACTGATTAGAGAAAGACAAATCAAAACAACTCTGAAGTACCACATCACACCTATTAGATTGGCCAAGATGATAAAACAAGAAAATGATAAATGTCGGAGAAGATGTGGGAAAATTGGAACACTAATGCATTGTTGGTGGAGTTGTGAAATGATCCAACTATTTTGGAGAGCAATTTGGAACTATGCCCAAAGGGCTATAAAAATGTGCATACCCTTCAACCCAGTAATAGCACTTCTAGGGCTATATCCCAAAGAGATCACACAAATGGGAAAAGGACCTACATGTACAAAAATATTCATAAAAGCTCTTTTTGTGGTGGCAAAGAATTGGAAATTGAGAGGATGCCCATCAATTGGGGAATGGCTGAGCAAGTTGTGGTATATGAATGTAATGGAATCCTATTGTGCTATAAGAAATGATGAACAGGCTGACTTCAGAAAAACCTGGAAAGACTTGTATAGTCTGATGCTGAGTGAAGTGAGCAGAACCAAGAGAACGTTGTACACAATAACAGCCATGTTGTACAATAACTGACTTTGATAGACTTAGCCCTTCTCAGCAATGCCAGGATCTAAGCCATCTCCAAAAGTCTCATGATGGAAAATGCTATCCACATCCAGAGAAAGAACTACGGAGTTTGAATCCAGATTGAAGCATACTATTTGCTATTTTTTTTTCTTCTGTTTTGTTTTGTTTCCTCTTTCTGGTGGTTCCTCCTATTGGTTCTAATTCTTCCTTATAACATGACTAATGTGAAAATATGTTTAATAGGAATGTATATGTAGAGCCTATAGCAGATTGCATGCTGTCTTGGGGAGGGAGATGGGGATGGAGGGAGAGAAAAATTTAAAACTCCAAAGCTTATGGAAGTGATTGTTGATAATTCAAAATAAATTAATTTTAAAAAACTATTCATATCTCCTGACTACTTCCCTATTGGGGAATAGCTTTTGGTTGTATATGTTTCTGGTAGTCATCTATGTATCTTGGATATCAAACCTTTATCAGAGATATTTGATATAGAGATTTCCACCCCCCACCTCATCCACTCTTTCCTTTCTTATTCTAGATGCATTATTTTTGTTTCTATGAAAGCATTTCAATTTCACATAATCAAAATTACCTGTTTTATATTTTGTAATCACTTCTATACCTGTTTTGGTTAAGAATTCATCTTCTACCCATAGATGTAAAAGTAAATGACATGCTTCTCTTCTAATTGAATTTATAGTGGAATATGGTGTAAAATATTAGACTAAGCCTAATTTCTGTCAATCTTATTTCCAGTTTTTGCCCAGTTACCAGATAGAGTCCTTCTAACTTATAGGGCATTAGGAAGAGACCTGGATATGGAGTCAAAATATCTGAATTTGAATCTGTCAGAATTCCTGTAAATAAGGTGAATTTTATTGTGCGTAAAGTGGATTTTTTTGTTATTCTTTCTTAGAGTTTTCTTCCTAGGATCCATATCCATAACAATTTCTACTTCCCAGGTGTTAGATATGAGTTCTCACGATCATAGTTCAAAACAGTTTCTACAACGCTTGTGCAGTAGATATAGGGATGAAGTGATGTAAAATTGTGAGGCTATTGCTGGCGATATGCCTTCTTTGTCTGTTGCCCTATAAAGCAAGTGGGTACCGGTCAGTGACTGGGGACCCCCATAGGGATGAATGTGTAGGCTGAA